CCTTACTAGTTCTGACATCAGCCACTTTTCTCCTTCAGAACCAAAATCCTCTGCTTCCAAACCAGAACCTTCATAATTTTGAACTGTCCTTTTCCATTGGTCACAAGATGTGTACTTTGGTGAGAGAGTGTTTGTAGATTACAAAGAGAGTTTTAGCTTTCTTAACTCAGAATGGCAAAATAAGATGACTGAACAAATGTATTTTTACTGAAAGTTTTCTTTTTAATTCTATATTTCCAAAGAGATTAAAAGATAATGTCACTGCAGGTCAAGAACAGCAATACCTTGATATCCCAAATGAATCTGCAAAAACAACAATAATAAAAAAGAATAATACCACTCTAAGTTGTAAGATTTAGATGTGGATATTCTTTTATATCAGCTGCTGACTGGGGAACTTGTTAATGTCAAAGTATTGGAATTAAATCTTAACAGCTAATCATTATAGTTCTAAATTTTATGTTGATCTTTATAATTGCACATTTAATGTACACAGAACAATTGATGGACAAAAATAGCAAAAACATTACACCCACTCCCTTAACACTAATATAAAATTTAACAATATTGTGAAAGATTTTTCATGATTTCACACAAAAGCAGACTGTAAAACTAAGAAGTCACACATTTTAAAGCAAACCCAGAAAACGTTACAGCTCATCACTATGGGCATCTGCGACTTCAACGAAGTTCCAAATCTCTTCCAGTTCGCTTTCTCGTTGTTCTCGATATGCAGCCAAATTTTGCTTCTGTTGGTCCAAGAAATCGTCGATGACTTTCATCAGTTCTCGGTGTAGAGCAAATTCAGAAGTTGCTGTTTTGAGTAGCCGCAAAATAGGATAAAGCTTTTCCATTTCTTCCTTATAATGTTTTAAGACCTCAATAATTTCATCCTCAAGATTTGCCTGGAAGACAAATTTGGTCAGTTTCTGCTATACGTTCATCCTAAATTGAATATTTTTCTGAATATTCAATTGAATACAGTGTCAAAATACAAAAAAAGATATTTATTGCCCAGAAACCTTCTGAACCAACACACATTTAACAAGCACTCACTGACTTACCTTCTTTAAAGCAGCATGTACTTTCCCTTTCTGAAAGTATTCCTGTAGTACATCCTGAAAAATTTCAGAGACGACATAAGTAGCATTGTTGCTTAGCTACAGCATATTAAAAACTGCACTACAGTTACATGATGGTTTATTGCAAATACTGTTACTGTGAAATCAAAATGCAAATAAAAAGGGCATCTAATAAAATGCTAATAAAAAAGCAAAATGAATGATGTGAAAAATGTGAAAGCCTCTACTGAGTAACAAAGATTCCATTTCATGAAAGAGTTGATTTACCAGATGGTCTCTGTCTACCAGTGAACTTGTAGCTTGAATCAGACACAGCAGTGAGAGGATGAAGAACACTCCTTTGGCTTTAGCCATTTTTCTGCTTCCAGATGAGGCTGCTTCTGCCATAACGTCTCCAGAGAAAGATCTTTGTGAACCTGATAGAAAAGATACTGAAGCTTCATGATAAAATGAATAATTTCACACTTGTTAACGTGAGATATACTACCTGTAAATACAGTAAGATTACAGCATTGTAGTAACAGATCTTACCTGTGCTTGAATAAAATGACAGCTGCTCATCTGGTGTTGGTGATGATAATGTTGAATTGACCCAGTGGAATAGCTTTATACAATCCTCATAGTTTCGTTATCATATTTCCTTCCACTCAGTCATGTGACTCAAAGCAACAGAAAGCATAGGAATGTCAACCCACAACAATTTACCAACGAGTAATGTCTGAACCAGGAATTTATCAACACACTGCAAATAATTGGTATTTTGTATCAAATTGGATAGGTATTTAACATTTTACTGTAAAAAAAGAATGATTGTATTTACCTGGATTTTTAAAGCGGATTTTTTTTATATAAGGAACTATATATAACTATATATAAAATATGATAAAGGAGGTATTATAAGATTAACAGAAGTCCCATCAACATTCCACCTGAGTCAAGTCAATTTGCTAAAACATTTTCTTAAAACACATTTTAGAAATGTCTAAAATATGATGGGTGGAAATAAGAACATTTATCAAGATGTAGAGTATGCTATTACCCCTGGAGCATGTATTTCCAGTTGTATTTCCAGCTCAGCCGGTTATTAATGTAAACACCCGCCTCTCTTTGGCGCAGACAAATTTCCATTTTGATTTTTTTGTCCAGATAGACTCCAGCTGAATTCTTAAACCAAGCCCACCTATTTGCCTTGGGTGAAGGCAATGTTTTGCTTCCTCCTAAAATAAAAAAATAATTTATCTTGCTTTGTTTGGGGTTGAAGACGTTGTTGGGGCTGCAAACTACTCACACAAATTTCTGATGATGAATGCTTTTCTTTACAATGTTAACAAAACAAATAGGGATGTTTTTTAGAATTTAACAGTGGGATTGTTGAAGATCTTTTAAAACTATTGAATTTAGCTTCTGCAGCTTCTAATGTAAAGGGTGTAGAAATGATAGTTGTTTATGCTAGAAATACTTTCTGCGTCATTGTTTGGAATCTAAGCTTGTTCATTCGATCTTGTCTGTTTGCTGACCGATATTTTAGGTGTAGTTGTGTATTCTAACAAACCTGTGTTTGTAGAATTGTGTGGTGTAGTGATAGTTCATGCTTTCATTTGTACTGTGGATAGAATCGTATTGGAGTCTTTAAAGTATTAACGTCAAGGAGTAAAAAATAAAATACATTTGATAAAAAGTGAAACTTTTTATGGAGAAAGAAGAGCTTTATTTTCAATTTCAGAGTAATTTCAGAGACAATATCACCAACAAGATAATTACAAATGAGCTTTCTGTTCTGCCAGGTTTGATATCAGCTTCTCCAGATGTTGAAGTTTTTTTTCATGGTCATCGAGTTTTCCAGCCTTTTTAAAAATGTCCTTAATTATATAAACCTTACATTCTTCCAAAAAAGCCTTCAGGTTCCCCATAAATGTCAGCATTGGTGGGACATCCGGCAATGTTCTTTTGACCACTTCGGTTAAAAGGTCCATTAAGTGTACAACTTCCTCCATTACATCTGAAATGAAGATGCTGTCTACCATAATGTCAGCCTAGTCAAAACAAACCAAATAAGTCTTTATTGCTTTTTTAAATTGAAAAAAGAAAAACATGCAACCTTTTAAATTTTTTTTTTACTTACCCTTCTACTTGCTACTTCCTTTTGTAGCTTCTTGATGTTTTTCTGAAGCTCTTCCTGAAAATCCAGATTGACGGTTAATAAAATGGAAAGTTTTTACAACAATCATTTCAAAATCAAATGAACCAAAACTTTACCAGCTGATCATCGTCTATCAGAGAGCTCCCAGGGCAGCCCAGAGTAAGCAGAGAGAATATCAGGAACAGAGCTTTGGTCATGCTGAGACCACCTGTCCCTCTGCGTCCATATGAGGCTGTTGCTGCCATCACTGCTCCGATTACTCCTGTCACTTTGAATAGTGCTAACACTGAGGGTAACAAAGAGGTGCCATCAAAAGTAGGCTGATTCATAAGAACAGACATGATATTAACACCAGTTTAACTTTCTTAAAGTTAACAATATTAAGTAGCTTACCTTGAACTGGTGGCAGATGATGAGTGTCAAATATAATGGAATACGTTCAACAAACAAGACTTTAGATGTTAATCTTGTCACCTCCCCATAACTTGTCAGTGTGAGTGTGTATCTGCCAATCGGTGTGTTTCTCATGATCTACAGATGACGTACGGGGCAAATCTGGAATAAACACTAACTTTTTCTTTCACCTTTGGGACTTACACGTATGCACTTTGAATTACGGGAATATGCTGTCCCTGTTTACTGTTAAGCTGTCATGAGAAATGCAGCCAATCCTCCCTGTGTCTATTAACTGTGAAATGGAAACCTGGGTGTGAGAACCAAGTGTGTCGATCTGTAAATGAATGTTTTATCCTTCAGAGTGTGATAGGAGGTAAATAGTGTGGAGATCATAGTGAGGAAAAGCTGCTGTTTAGGAGGTTTGCCTTTGGTTTAAACTACAGAAATAAAGGTTTTAATCTGTGACAGTAATTTGTGCAGCTGCTCCTCTTACAGTATCCTGAATGCTTAATGTTGGTTGAAATCAGCAACAACCCCAAAAGAAAAAAACCCCAAAAAACAGCTAATGCCGGACGGTATTTACACTATTTGATATACAACAGTATGAGCTTTTCTACTCGTCATAAATCTGACTATTAAATAACATCATCTAGCGATAACCTTTCATTAACTCTATTATTGCAGAAACATATCCTGGTATCCAATCGATAAATAGCCCAATGACAACCTTAAATCTTATCAAAGTGTTTTAATGTATATCTTTAGTAGGCACAGAATTCAGGAAGAGGACATGCAAACACTTGGAGCTGACTTTAGCTTTTGTACGCGTCACCCTTGTAGCTGCTTTGCAATTGAAGGTAGGCAAGGCAAGGCAAGTTTATTTGTATCGCAAATTTCGTGTACAAGACAATTCAAAGTGCTTCACAGAGAATTTAAAAGCATGAAAACAAGAAAAGAAAAATAATAAAAATTACAGATAAAAATTGAAGGCTGCAGACAAAATACATTCAATTTCCATATGCACAGTTAAACAGAAGCTTTTTCAGCCTGGATTTAAACACTGTCAGTATTGAAGCCAGTCTCACAACTTCAGGAAGACTGTTCCAGATTTTAGGAGCATGGAACTGAAATGAAGCTTCCCCTTGTTTAGTTCTGACTCTGGGCGCCATCAGAAGACCATAACCTGTGGTTTTCAAAGTCTGAGCTGGTTTCATATGGCTCCAACATAGAGAGCTGTTTTAAAGTCTATTCTCTGAGTGACAGGAGGCCAGTGGAGAGACCTGAGCACTGGACTGATGTGGTCGTATTTCCTGGTTCTGGTCAGAACTCTAGCAGCAGCATTCTGGATGTTCTGCAGCTGTCTTACAGCTCATTTAGAGAGTCCAGTGAGCAGGCCATTACAGTAGTCCAACCTGCTAGAGACAAACGCATGGATTAGTCTTTCTAGGTCTGGTTTTAAAACTATTCCTCCGATTCTGGCAATGTCTTTTAGATGGTAAAAGGCTGATGATGTTATTGATTTAATGTGGCTGTTAAAGTTCAGGTCTGAGTCCAGTATTACCCCAAGATTCTTGATTTTTAGGTTCCAGAGAGAGTGCCTAAAGGTGACTAATGACACTTTCTCTTAGTTTCTGTGGGATGCAGACAATGATCTCAGTTTTGTCTGGGTTTAACTGGAGAAAGTTGTTCTGCATCCGCAAACTGATCTGTTCAAAACAACAACACAATAAATCTGCAGGCCCGTATTCTCCTGCTGTCAGTGACACATAGATCTGAGAGTCATCTGCATAGTTGTGGTAGGACATATTATGGCAGCGTATCAGCTGTCCCAATGGAAGCATGTACAGATTGAACAAACATTGATAATTCTAGACACAATTTCTGCCTATCTGAGGTTAGTTTATGCTGACCACACACAGTTTTGGTCATTTAATAATGCTACCTACCCATAGGTTTCTTGTCCCTTAACCGCCACAAACTAAAAATCAGCTGACAGAAAATTGGAAAAACCCATGTTTAGCCACAGCTTAGCAACTGTAACCAGGCCCAGCGTGTATGTAAAGATTTGGAATATTCACATGACAACGATGTAGAGAAACCGGACGGCCTGGTGGTTTGGTATGTACGGTTTGACGTGCAGTGACTTTTGTTATTTCAAAACCTGCATGTGTTGGCTGCCTTTTCACTTTCATTATCAGATCAATTATTTGTATGAGTTGAAACTTACAGGAAAGCGGCAGAGCTTTGATGGAATGACAACCTTCCCAGGGTGTAATCCATGTTTTACCCAGTGAGGGCTTCAAAAGGCTAAAATGATGAAATAATAGAATATAAGATAATCAAATTATTTTAATTGTAATCTGTTTGAATTAGAATTAAGGAGGTAAATCTTTTAAAACTGTATGTACTCTTAGAAAGTAAATTATCATGTGACTTTTTAAGCCTTCAACTTTGTACATACACTGATGTCACACACACTAAGCAACAAAGAAAGATCTTTGTTTATTTTAGTTTTTTAATTAGGCGTGAAGCAAAAATGTGAATCATGTGTTTTTTTAAAATAATTTTTATTGTATAATCATGTTTGCGTAATCTAAAAACCATGACATGTTTTTAAATGGGAAGAACATAAAGTTGTTACATCAACCTCCTTAGAGTTACAAAAATCAAAAATAGAAACACTTAGAACTCTACCTTTAACTTTCACAGAAACAGACATACAAGCTGTTACAAGTCAGAATGAACATCCTGTTTTAAAGAATCTTTTAGTTTCTTCTCAGTGTCCTCTCCTTTTTGAGCAAAACCTTTTTTCTTTGTTTGTAAGTAGCTCTTCGCTTTCTTAAAGACTCTCATTGCAGTACTGATCATTTCTTGCAGTTCAACTGTTAATGAATTCATTGGTAATATCTTAAGCATTTCATGATAAAACAGTCCGTCCAATTGCATTAGGGCTGAGTCAATTCTATCCTCTGCTGCTGCCTGAGAAAGGAGAAAAAAAACAATTTAGTGCCTTTACATAGTTACAAAGTTATGTTTTTTTATGTTTTTTGTAAAGGAATGACACATATACACAGGCTTCGTCAACATTAAACTGTCTTGCTCACCTTCTGTCTGTTTTCGTTGTCTAGTGCTTCTTGAAGGTAGTCCTGAAACATTTCCTGAAATGTATCACAGAAATCATATGAATTTAAGATGTCCACAGCAATTCATCGTATACAGAGGAAGCTAATTGTTTTACAACAAAAGAAGTAAAACGTCATTACCAGTTCATCTTCATTTGTCAAAGAACGTGCAGAATCCAGTAGTTTTGAAATGATTTCATCTCGCTTTCTTTCCTCTGTCTGATCGAGAAAAATAAAACTTTCAGCTCTGTCTGAGTTTCCTCATATGCTTCAGGTTTTATGTAGCTACATTACTTTGGAGCCAGTTTATTTAATTTGCAATTTCAAAAATAACAACTGATGAATGCATTTTGTGTGCACTTACTTTCTCTCTGGCAGCATCTGCCAATGCTCTCAGAAAGTTGTTCATCAATTTGTCCTAAAAATTCATATAGGACAAGCACTGTGTGATCGATCCACATTAACATCTGTACATGATGAAAGAAATGTACGAAGAAATCTGACATTTGTAGATTAGAAGGCCTAAGAAAGGGTTTAGTTACCATGTTGTTGTTTAATTTCAGTGAACTTGTATTGCCAAACAGGCAGAGCAGAAAAATGAAGACAATCCTGCGTTTGGTGGAGCTGGCATCAGTCCCTCCTCTGCTGGCAGACACGGCCGCTGCTGCCATCGCTGCTGTTGGAAAGATACTCCGAACTAAAGACAAATTACAATCCATCAAGTGTAATTTAGAGATGAAAGATCTTTAAACTGGAAACTATTTTTTTCAAAGATTTGTTTTATAGAGGTGATATTCAAATGAATTCAGGCAATTGATTTTTACGGTAGTGCAGATATTACCTGCTTGTTGAAAGAGGAGCTGCTCTATGGGTGGCGATCCAAGAAATGATCATCTGACATAACACAAATACTCTACATGCCCCTGCTGTCACGGTTCTCATGTTACCACTTGTTTACGCAAGCAACACTTTCACTTTCAGTATTCCAAGAAGTGGTGATAAGAAGATTCAGTTTGCAGGAAAATTCTAAAAAGTCAGGTGGTGCAAAAGCATGACAGTAAAATAAATAAAAAAAACACAATGTGGTTTACCAGAGGCTCCTCTCCCTGTGCTGTGTGCAGGATCCAGAAGCGGATGTGGCTTTGACAGACATGTGAGAATTTGGTTAAAACATGTGCTTGCTGTAAGGACATTCATTTTTATAGTTCATTAATCTGCCTAATGCAGGATTGATCATTTTTGATAAATTGGGAATCAGATTAAAACAAAGATGTTCAGCAATTTATAGTAACATTTTTGAAGCTGTTCTATTTTTATTTTTATTGGAAAATATCTGCCTAACCCAGAGTTGTACACTGATACTAAGCATAACTAAATGTACTTGTATTTGACAACACCACACTGGTTTCAGCTCGACCTCTGGTGATTTCAGCAATTATACTTTGAGCAAGCTTCCAGTATATTGTAATTGTTGTGCTGCAATGTAAGTGAAAGTGTACGCTTGTATGCTGACACCAGGGGTCAGGATTGCTCTATAGCCCATGTTAATCAGTAAATAAGTATTTATTGCATCAGTAAATCTCTGTATGCTGTCTTTATCGAGCTATTTATTATTTACTTACCTAGTCGAGGATACACTTAATGAACAGGGCTTAGGTTTATCAGTATTTACTTTATGTGTACAAAGGACAACATAGATAACAAACCAAATGCCGCCCATGATTTGTTTGAATATTTGTGGTTATTCATACATTTTAGAAGACTACAATGGCAAAATTGTTACATTCAGTTGTAGGTTTAAATGCCTGCCTATTGAAATGTGAGCATTCACAACGTCATTGTTACGTTATCAGGCAATTATGAGCTTATGTTAACGAATGAGGGGCAACACACCCATTTTTCATCTTATCAGTTATATGAGCAATTACCAAATTGAGAAATGAACACACACACAGAAGGGGAAGGATACAGATACAGACTAACTGTTCATTTCTTTAGAATCAATTAGGGAAATTGGCAGGCCTGTTATGCTGCTTCACTGTGGTCCTGATTTCTCAGCCAGCCTCCGTCACCACTGCGTCAGCACTGATGAGCTCAGCGTTTGTGGGAGGGAAAGGGGGGGGGAGTGGATGACCAGAGGGTGGGAGAGCGATTTAGAAAACAAGCAAAAAGGAATAGAAGAGAGAGAGAGAGAGAGAGAGAGAGAGAGAGAGAGAGAGGGGTGTTGCCTCTTCTGAAACAAGCTCGGGCATCACAGTGTGAGAGCAGCAGGGTGGGAACAGAGCATCCCTATCGTCCATCCCTGTGGGACAACAAAGCAGTTTTTTTTTGCATTATTTAAAATCCTTTTTTAATAATTCAAGCAGCGTCAGATCGAGATTTTGTAGACATATCCCGCACGTCGGCAGCATCCAGACCTGGTGGTGAACAGCAGGGTTTAAGGAGGAAGCAGAACAGCCTCTTCAGCACCCTGGTCAGTGATCATGGCCCCGATGGTGGAGGACGGAGCCCAGCCCGGTGAGTCCAACAACCTGCGCTTCAGTCTGGCTGAAGATAAAAAAAAATGTTAGTGTAACAAAGCCAATAATACATAAGTAAATAGGAGACATCCATGTAAACATGTGTGAGCTTACTGGTGCTCTGACGCGGCGTTTTTCATGACTCCTGATCGTTAGACGTCAGTCGCTGAAAGGCGATTTGCTCACGAATTTAACAAATGTTTTTCAATGAGGAAAAACTTCAAATTTAAGTCACTGGATCGGAAAGGGTTTTGTCTTTTCTGGTCAGTGAATCCCAAAATGTTTGATAAGTGTCCAAGCCTCCATTTTGCATCGATCCAAAAGGCGACAATTAATTATCTGGAGACAGAAGGTGGGGCTGCATTTCGCCATATCAACACGGGGAATTTATCATTCAGTCCTCACAACATATAACTGACTTGATTTGACCACGGTAAAAGAAAACCCTGAAAAGCACCGGCTCATTTCTTTTCTTCTCTCTTTCTTTCTTTCTTTTTTATGTTCTCTGGGTTCCATTACAGCCCTCCTGCTGCCTCACCCATCTGTCTCTTCTTACAGTCTTGAAAACAATCTCACCCAAGACATTAGATTCAAATATTGATGAGCAAAAACAGAGAAAACATAATGTACAAGCTGTGACCCAAAACTGAGCTCTGCATTCCTCATATTTCTCACAGTAAAGGTCTGAATGATAGCTTGTCCAGTCAGATTTACAATAAAATTGTTTTCTATATGTAACCATTCATTAAAAAAACATGTATATAATGTCAGTTTTCTCAAGTTGTATTGTATATCTAAATCTAAATGACAACAGTGTCATGTCTATATGCAGAAGGGCATAAATAGTGATCTAACTCATGACTCTAAGCAGATTAAAAATACAAGTGATGAGCCACCACCCCCGCACATCAACCTGATCTCTTTTTAGGTTAATCATAGTACTTTCCCTCTCGGTCAACCTCCTAAATGCAGGAAATGGTTGGCATTTCTTGATTTGGAATAAACCAGTTAAATGTTAGTTGTTGAGTCACAGTTCAGCACCACAAACAAATAGGGGCATTCAGGGACAGATATCCCTGTAATTATACCAGATTCCACAATAGTGCTAATGAGTGGCATCTGTTTCAGAATGTGTACAGATAATTATCATCTGCTTTTCAGTATGTAGGAATAAAAATGAGTGTTATTGGATACGAGTACTAAAGTGTTCATCAGACATCTTGAGGCTATTTAATCGTTTTTTCCGATGTCAGAATTACTTCACTTGCACACAAAGACACACAGGTCCAGAGCGATTCGGATAAAAGGCTTGTAAAGCAACAAACCTGTTCTGCTGTACATGCCATACATGATCTGTTCCAACAAGAATACATGTGCCTGGTTGTTATAAAAAAGTGGAACAGTATATGACCTCCATGGGCGTTGCTCTCCTTATAATCGTTCTATTGATGGTCTGCTTCCTTATTTGGGGACTTGCATAAATGAATCATACTGTCACTGAAGATATGTGATGGCAAGCAGTTCTTTACAAACACCGGCTGTTTCCGAAAATATACCATGACCATGTTAGGAAAATGAAGGCTTAATTAGGCTGAGCAGGCTGCGTTGTTTTCATCTCCCTCTGAGTCAAGCCTCCAGCTTGCGTCAGTCAGAAGCACAAAATCTACTCCGTATTCTCACCACAGCAACACAGTCTGTTAAAGGAAGAATTTCATAGGTGCTTATTTTACAGATGTTCATTCTATCATTTTTATTTGAGGCAGTTGTAATTTTTTCCAAAATAAATGATTTTTTCCCTACCTCCCTCCCACCCATTCCCTCACTTGCCCCCTCCTTTCCCTTTGTTCTCCTCCACAGTGGCAGTGCCAGTAGGTGTTGCTGTGGTGAGTGTTTTCGGTCTCGTCTTCACTGCATCAGCCTTTGCTTGGATCTGTTGCCAGCGCAAAAACACCAAGTCCCAGAAGACACCTCCCTACAAGTTTGTGCACATGCTCAAAGGGGTCGACATCTACCCAGAAAGTCTCAGTGGAAAGAAAAAATTTGCAGCACCTGCCACCCCAACGACGACCGACAGCAGCAAAACCGATGTCAACGGAAACTGCCACACCGCACCCATGAGTCCATCTGGGGCCACAACGTTGGCCTCAAGTCCAAATAGTTCGAGACCGGCTCTGCACCTGGATCTGGAGAAACGTGATCTTAATGGCAACTTCACCACCAAGCCTTTTCATCACCACCAGCAGAAGCTGCGGAGCTCCCCAGACCTGGAGCTGCCCTCTCCCCATGCAGGGTTCACCCAGCCCGGTGTGATGGACCGCTGTGACCTCCCATCACCGTCCAGCACTCTCTCCAGCCAGGCGCCCACTCCAGCTGTTGACAGGCACCAAGGAGAAGAAAAGGAGAGTGGACTAGGGACCCTCCACTTCTCCCTTGAATACCAGCCAGAGAGGAAAGCATTTATTGTTAATATCAAGGTACTGCACATGTTCATCATATTCATAATCTTTCTGATTAGATTTTGATGAATATTTGTTCAAAAATGATTTATAATGTATGTAATGTATCTTTTTGATACAGGAAGCCCATGGTCTCACTCCAACAGATGAACAGTCACTTACTTCTGACCCTTACATCAAGCTGACCCTCCTGCCAGAGAAAAAGCACCGGGTGAAGACAAGAGTGCTGCGCAAGACTCTGGACCCAACCTTCGATGAGACCTTCAGCTTCTATGGGATCCCGCTGGCCCGCGTGTCTGAGTTGGCCCTACACTTCATGGTCCTGAGTTTTGATCGCTTCTCTCGTGACGAAGTCATTGGAGAGACACTGGTACCTTTGTCTGGGATCGACTTGTCAGAGGGACGTGTCCTAATGAGCCGAGAGATAATTAAGAGGAACGTCAAGGTAAGATCTGATACAATTCCTGTAAAACTTTATTTTCCTAGTCTCAGTCAATGAAACTTGAACTAATTATTTATCTAACACAACAGAGAAGGAGGTTTGCTTTTTGTAATTTATCTGCTTGACCAACCCATTCTTGATTTCCTGTCAATTGCTTATGGTCACTAAATTGAATGAAGTCATGAAATCCATTTGACCTTCAAACTTCCTCATTACTGATTCAGTATTTGTCCCAGTATGATAAGAGCAGCTGTATTGAGAGCTTCATGAGGCACTTTCACCATATAAACAGTTCAGTATCACTTTCACAGTCTTTTCATTCACTAATACAATGATCCGTTGATCTGATAAATCCAAATCATTAAAATGTGTTGTAGAAGGTCTCTTCAAACAACAGCTGATAAAAGAGAGTTAAGGTTAATTACAAAGCCCTATCTTTATTATGGTCTGAGGCTGTAATTCTTCCCTTGATGAACGAATATATTGTATGTGCCTCAAGTCTGGGGTAAAAGAAAAAAACAGTTAGAGGAGAAAGCACACAGGAAGTGTGTCTCTTGGGATGGAGACAAGATCTGTATCAGTGTTACATGATACTGTGGTTTGGGGCTCTGCTTAGTGACCGTGCATTTTCATAATCACCAAATCATAAATCTAATCGGCCTCGAATTACATATTGACATGCTTCCCCTAAATTGACATCCTATACAATCATGGCCATAATGAAGGAACTTTTATACAACCTGATGAATAAATTAATTGCAAGATAAATTCTTTACCTTTTATTTTTTGGACAACATGACATCCACACTAACCCAATATGGATCTGTGGATGGAAGAAGAATAGATTTATACCTCAGACCAGCTCTTTTTGGGATCTGTAAGGTCCACTAGTACAAGCTGCTTCATTTCCAGTATGGACTTTTTTCTTTTTGAGGTATGTCATGCATAGTAGTGAGTACAGCTCCAGAAAAAAGGCTTGGAGATGGAACATTGGATAATATCGGTGTAGTTATAGATTGATACGATGATATTGTAAACTGCAGAGTTCAGCTTCGTCGCAAGCTCTGTGCCCACTGGACGGTAATGGATATGTTTATATCCCAGGAGGAATGCGACCTATCTGTAATGCTTTTAATGGTCCCTTAGATGTGATATGATATACCAGAGCAGTAAATAGGACTCGGAATCTGGGAAGTATAAAATGTTGAGCCCCTCCCTACTAAACTCTCTTTTTCACCACTGTAGACATGCTAAAATTAAATATCTTATATCTATATATATTATTGTTTGGCTCATTTCTCATTTCTGTCCCTGAAGAGAGAAATCTCATAAACCCTATGATAGTAATGATTTTCACTTCTATCTTTTTTAGTTTGTGAAGCCATTTGAAACTCATGAAAAGATGATGTATTGCACTGGTTTCACTGTGTGAAACATTTGTCATGCAAATAACTTATTTTCATGGATTGATGATGTGGTTTGTTGTACAAAATGGATGCTGAGTACACAGAATGATTAGTGCAACATAACATCTAGTATTTTGTATATTCCTGTTGTGTTATATGGGTAAGATGAAGTCCTCAGCTAACAGGCTCATATGGGTGTTGGCTCTCTTTGTCTGCAATGGCTTACATTTGGTCTCGGTGCTTCGTGTGGGTAGGTGTCAGCAAACAGCAGTGTACGGATTCAACCCTGCACAGGAAGCAGCAAAGCCATTACTGTGTGTTCACCTCTCCAAACAGTTGATCTGTTTTATGCAATCACTGAGAAATGATACAGAGCTTGTACTGTGAGATCTGAATATCAGGTCAGGGCTAGAAGTTATCTCTGTGCAAGTGCTCGCTGCCATGGCAACCGTGAGCAGGGGTGGGAGATCCTCTTATGTGTGATCACAGCATCCTAGGCAGCAGCTCCTCGGGGTATGGATTCAGACGTGGATGTGTATGTCGAACAGTAGCAAAGTCAAGCCTGTGGAGGAATGAATTGTGAATCTTCTCTGTAGTATGCTCTTGCAGTTTAGTCGCGGGAATCCACCGGGCAATTTTCTGTGCACGTTGATGATATTTGTAAATGATAGCAGATTTTTACCAACCTTACCGTTTTTTCTTAGAAATTGGCTTGATATTGGATAAAATAAGTATGCGCAAAATGCATTTTAATCATGATTTTGTTTTTTTTATAATGTAGTATTACATAGTCACTTATAATAGTGTCAGATTAAGTGAATGGAAAAACAGTGAAAAACTGTGGCTTTTTTACCTCAGCTCTAAATATTTTTGGCTATATTTTTTCAGACTTTGTTTGGAAACTAATAACTAAATAACCCTTCCTCTCCATCTCCTCCTTCCTTCCCCCCCCCCCCCACCACGTCCTTGTCTTTTCTGTCATTCATTATATCTCTACAGAAGTCCTCAGGCCGTGGGGATTTACTGCTCTCCCTGTGTTACCAGTCCACCACCAATACTTTGACTGTGGTTGTCCTCAAAGCTCGCCACCTGCCTAAGACTGAAAACAATGGGCCCACAGGTAATGGACTTTTAGAATGCAGTCTATTAGACTCAAGTTAAATGCATCCGTATTGACACTTTCTCTTCCAAAGCCTTTCACATATCCGGCCCAAATAGTTTTGCTCTTCCTGCCACACAGCCCGTAGTACTTTAGATGCTGCGATTGTTGTCTTAATGATACCACCATTACACCAAAGTAATCTGATCCGGATGTGATAGAGAGAGCTTTAGCGACAAGTGCACGCCCACACATACAAACACATTTACAGAGTGTGTAATGCGGACAGCCAGCCTCTGTGTCCGCATCACTTACATCCATCCCTTCTGCTCTATTGACTGTTGTATTGATCTGGCTAAGGATTTATATGCTGCTCTGCAACTGCTGTTCTTGATTATTTTTTTCAATCTGTTCTTGTCATTCTTTTTTTCTAGATCCATACGTCAAGCTGAACATGTATCATGGAAAGAAACGTATATGCAAGAAGAAGACCCACGTGAAGAAGTGCTCTCCCAACCCGGTCTTTAATGAGCTCTTTGTCTTTGACCTGCCCTCTGAGGAGGGTCTGAGGGACACCAGTGTGGAGTTGCTGCTGATGGACTCAGACATGGGCAATTCACGCTGCCCCAACACTGTTATTGGGCGCCTGGTGCTGAGCACATCAGCAGCGGGAACTCCTGGCGAGCACTGGAGGGAGATCTGTGATCATCCACGTCGCCAGATTGCCAAATGGCATACTATGTCTGAGGATTAGGAAAGCTGGGATGTTTTCTGGACTCTGTCATTCGTATTCGACCTGGTCAACCATGAAAAGGATGGAATGACAAAGGGCGGGATCAGATGTCCTGCTGGCCAGTACCCATTGGACTTTAAATGAGGAGGGGAGGGGGGAAACAGGGATGGGATTTTAGATATACTGGAGAAGATCATTCCAAGTGATGTCATCATTCAGTCAAGTCATTAATGCACCTATCTTTGAAGTTATTGGGGTTCATTTAGAGGTGGGGGAGGCATGACGATGATAACCCCATAGCTTTAAACAAACCCAAAGACTTTCACCAAGAATCATTTGGTAATTTCGTCTACATGACAACCAATTGTCGCTGTAAATGTGTGCAGTACAGAATGTCTTAAATGTTGCTATTACTCTTCTTTTCTTCCTCTGCTCTTTCCTCTTCTTCTCTTTCTTCAGCTCTTCCTCCTATAGATAGTAACCTCCAGGCTATCATGTGAAAACGAGAATGAACCTGTCAACACTGTAAAAAGTCTGGATTATTAAAGTTTATTTTATAAAGGCAATGTTATCCTCTTGAGGATGTACATTTTTTTATGTTACGTTGATTCGTACCTTTCTGGTTGGTTTGTTAATCCTTGTTTTGTAAGTACAAGTGATATTTCATTTCATGACTCAAGTGAAATAAAAGCCTAAATTAGGTGGATTGAGAACAGATGGGAGCAGACAGAGTGCATTGGCAAGAGTGTGGATGCATTTTTGTGTGTTTGTGTCTTTTGAGAGGAGCGTGCTTGTGCTGACACAGCTGTGGGAGCATGAGGGTGTGAGCTGTGAGCCACATAATGTTTACTGTAGGTGTTTTGTCCCCATTACTGTGAGCACAAAGACAGTTGACATGTAAATGTACCTTACTATAAAATATGGCAAGTTCTGAGCAAAAAAAAATAGTTTGAAGTTTTCTTTTCTGTGACTATTTGTGATGTGTGTTATGTAGGTCTGCATGCTTGTGTGTGTATGCCTTCAAAAATAACTGCTGGAAGATGATTGTGTCCCATTTTACAGATAATCTGCACAGGTGTGATAAACCCCCAACCCCAAGAGTGACATCATCAGGCCCATTGCCAAATCTGATGATGTAATAACTGCTGAGTGGCAAAGCGCTTTCGGATGAAGTCATCGCGTCTGAATTTAATATCAGCTAAGTGGTTCAGAGAGAGAGGACAGCTTCCTCAGCTTTCTTTCTTTCTTCAGTTCTACAGCATCCAAATATGCTGTCCTCTTGTCTCAGTCCTGACCTCTTCTCAGTCAAAGCTTTACCTGAAATTGCATCAGGGACTTCATGGTGACGCCTCTGGAGTAACACGAGGTTCGCTCACTTTGTTTTTCGTCTCTGTTTTTGACCTATGAGATCACTGTCTGAGGAAGGTTTTTAGTTCACCCTTTCATTTAATAAATTGGACCTGTAAAGCTGTGCCATTTATCCCACCCCACTACTCTCACCACTTCTTTCTTTGTAGTAACTTTTTCAACTTTTCTTTAAATTGTTTTTTAAATTTTTGACGGCAATACTAGTATGTAAAGGCCTGTTAGCCTGATGGAAAAGAGGCTTGATGCTTCTTTCAAGAGTATTGTTGACAGCTGAATCAAGGACTTTATGATTGGTAAATTGGAGACAAACTCATTCTTCTCTTAAAGTAGAAATAATTAGTCCACTATAAATATTCCAATCTTTTTTTTTTTTTAAATGAAGACAGAAATTGAAATATTTAATCGTAGAGATTTCTGTATTGACCACCATATTTTGACATCAGTAGAAAAATCATTTTTAGGGAGAAAGACCATAAAGCGTAATTTTGTGTGATAGTATTTTATTCTCAGGACGACACACGGCCTGGCCCACAGCTTATACTCTGACTGGCCCCCCGAGGTATGTCTTTTTTAGCAACCGCAGCCAGATTTTTGTTTCTGGTGAAACTATAATTGAATGGTAGAAGCAGTTTTTTTTTAAATGTACTACAGTAGTCCTCTAAATACTTACTCATTCTGATAAAACATGATATCCAAAATAAATATAGATACACAACATGAAAAGACACCTTGTATTAGTAATACATTTTAAACAATGTATATTGTTATTATTATTGAAAATGTATATTCCCACGTTCATCTTCATCAATTATCATTTTCAGTGTACACTGAGTCCTAGCTATTTAACCTCTCTTTCCTTCGGCTGCAGTAATTTTCCACTGTGCTCCTCACTGAAAAGGATTTGTCAGTCTGTCTGTAGGGAGAAAGCTGTCCCCAGAGCACTGTAAGCAGTGTAGGGATGAGTCATCAAGCAAAAGACCTTCACACAAGCAAACAATTAAAGTTCCTCTGATACATTGGAACGCTCCAGTTGGAGTCAGAATCTGTAGATTTTGGATGCAGGTGTTTGATAAAAAGTTCTTAAGGTCTTAAAGATGTCAGTCCTATTTAATATTGACTGATCTCATATCATTAGAGAAGAAATGTATGATATAAATAAAAAATGATAAAATATAATAATTTGATTAACAAAACACAAAGCAGACAAAAATTACCAAATTATGTAATCTCATGTCTTTGCCATGATTTGATGATTTCCCATTATCCAAATGAATCTCACAAGCTGAAAATTGGCTTATATGGACATAAGGCTTATTAATCCATTCCTCTCAACAGAACCTTGCAGTACTTTGAGAGATTACAAGGGTATTGTGAGGTTATTGTTGTACCGAAGTTATTCTTGTTTTCCATTTGATATTCACAGTTTGTGTTGGAAATTTAAGTCATTACTATTACTTCTACAAGTTTAAAACAGAATGGACATCTACAGCATGGTTCCACTAGTGAAAAAATGCAGCATGGTGGAGGGTGAAGTTGATGAACTGTACCCTTCACTGCTCCAGTCTATCAAGACTCAGTCTGAGACATAACATACGCTAGTAAAGGATTTGTCTATGTTGCCATGGAAACGTCCAGAAGACCACAGGTGCTTATCATTGAAGATGACACAAAATGATTTAGACAGCAAGTTGATATTATGTCTGTGTTATTTAGACACACACAAAAGGTTGAAACCCAGACCAGATGGGATCAGATCACTTGCCTCAACATCACCTTGGCTGTCATGGCAACAGCACCGTATTACTTAAAAGGCAGAGTGACAAATGGAGAACTGTTAGGCAGCAAGCAGCAGAGAGCTGGGGCTGAGAAATGGATGTCAGGAGGAAAAGCTATGGGGGCAGATATCTGCCAACCAGAGACGTCTCACTGTGTTGCATTGAAAGAAATGCCAAGTGTGACCACACTAATATGTTATTGCCACTAAGCATTTCTTGCACTCATGTCTCCTGTTGTTCACTGCACCATTTTATATCATTATGTTGGGTGGTAAACACAGATTTTGTATAGATTTTAGAGCTCCAGCTTGTGTGAAAAATCGGTGCAAAAAACAGAGGAAAAAAAGAAATAGGTCTCACACAGGTAGACACTCTGGATCTCTGGCCTCCATTGATCAAAATCCATCTATTATTTTACGGAGCCATGATGCACCTCGTATATCTACCATAAACTATCACCCAATTCTCCTTCATTCTTCTGATGTTGCATTTTTCATCACATTCTTACAGCTAACACCATTGGATGACCCCCACACAACACTTCCACCCACACACAGTATTTTAAGTACAACCTTAAAGATGTGGTGTGTGTTTGATCTCTTGTGGCAGTTATTCCGGTTCAGGGTATAAAGCACACTATCCATCTTTAAGGTAAACTGTTTGATCTCCTGTTAAAGCTGTAGTATCTTTTAGCAGTGATTAATACACAACTGTATGTAAGGCATAGAAAATAATTTGAACTATATTAGCATCAATTTAAAGAGGCAAAGCCTGCATGCATAATAGTAACAAAGAGGGATATTGTAGTGCTTGTTCATGGATGATATTCTCTAAGACATATTTTGGAAGGGGGGGCATCTGTGCTTGTCAATTGCTGCCTGGCTTAATTCTAATTTGTCTCAGTTATCTAATAAAGAAAACATTGATGTCAAACATATAGTCTTGCAATACATATTTATTTTTATTGACAATGTAACACAGTTGACAAATACATATTGAAAATAAAATAAATAGTTGGTTAAAAAACAAATATTTAAATAGGATAGTAAATAGTGATAATTCTGATTTGCAATTCATGGATGATGGGTTGATATTGTTAAAAAACATGATTTATAAGTATTTGATATAGCAGTACTTTTACTGTGACAGTTACGATTTGGTACTTTTATTTTGACATCTGTTCACAACGGCTTCCCGTAAAACTGTTTGTCAGTTGAGCTGAGAAGAGCTAGGAAGCTAAAGACTCCGTTTCCTTTGCTCCAGCAGCACGGAGTTAGAAATTGGGGGAAAAAAGTATTTTTAAGTTGTTTACGTTACCAAAGTTTCCTTTTGAAGTACGGAGCGAACAGCTCTGTGAATGCTGAATGTTTTTTAAAGAAGTTGTTCGTCGAATATTGTTTTTGTTGAATCGTCTCGGTAAGGCAACTCGTCTACTTTTTTCCCCTTACTGATGTAATCTAAGTGTTATATTGTTTATCACAGCTAAATACTTTGGTGAAAGCACATAATTGTATTTTGTTTTGACAATACTTGTTGTGTTAATGTGAAACGGGTATATTTTGGTTGAATGAGTAAGCTAAAAGCTCGGAACGAGCTAACTGCCAGCGCTCGCGCACCAGCGCGTGCAAGGTGAGAGGGCTGAACCGTGATTTCAGTGCAGAATGTTATTTAATAATATTCATCCTGTTTACATAAGTTATTTATCTGAATGGTATGCAATGCTTTTCAGTATGAATGAAGTGTGTGCAGTTCGCATAGCTTTTCTTTTGAGAGGATTGATATTAATGTTGTACAACTACTTTAAGTTTAAACTGTTTGAACTGATATTTGATAAGGAATTGAACATTGTCCTGTATGTGTGGCTTAACTAAGGCTGTGGTTACACAGGTCAAGATTTGGAGCTGGATCTGGATTTCGCTGACGATTGACGACAACGTTAGATGGCGAGTCTGATCCTGTTTTATGTCATTTCATGTGGCATAGCTGGTAGGATTGTGGCCTGCATGTGTCACAATAAGACTGACTTTGACTGACTTAACGCTTTACAAACAGAACCCCGGATAACGGCCTGAACTGAACTACTAAAAGGAACTATTTTTTCTTTTTTTGAACAACACATGAAAGGAACTCAATTCTTGTGAGGATCTAAAGGACTATTTACCAACTTTTGAAGAACGATTAATACTTTTTATTTTATTTTGAAGGGCCAAATCTTTTATTTTGGGTAATTGTAAATAATTCATTTTTATCTGGTTCATTACTAAAGAAAAATACCCTTTATCTTTGTGTGGTGTCCTTTAATTGTACTGTCTTTTTCCACTCTCCCCAGAGCCTAGTGTCTTATTTTCTAGCTTATTGAATCTGGCCTATCATTGTTGGTACATACTCAGTAGTGGGTTACAATGGCACAAAACTGTTGCACAATCCTCAGTGGCTTCCAGTGTTGACCATGCACAGTGTACCTTCTCTCTGATTGCAGTGTGGTTTTACCCTTGTGTGGGACAGATCAGCCCAGGGAACACTTGGATAATGAAAGGATCGGTAAGGTCCACAGGTGCCAGGCTCAGTGGATTTGCAGTGGAAGCATGCAATTATAGTTGCCGATAAGGAGGCTGTTTGCTTGCACACTGCTGTTTGTGCCACAACAAAACTGGCATGAAAATGAAAGCAACCAGTGTTAACTTGAGTTGAGCTACAAAAGAGTGGAGAAAGTGAGCTCAACCTATTGAGATTTTTTACTGTTGGTAGTTACTGAAATTCTTAGCATTGCATGGGAGGAAGTCAAGTTGAATCAAGGGCCAATTTACTGCTTTTATCTCTTTTGAGGCCTCAATCTGAATCCACTCGTCCATCCCACTCCACTTTTTGTTCTGCAGATTTGGCTCCGTTGGCATGAATTAAGGGGGGTAGTATGGGCTAACACCATGGCTGTAGGCTTTGTGGAGGGTTAGCATTGCACATCTTACGCTTGCTGTGAAGATATGTTTTCATTACAGATTGTGTGAGTGTGCTGTTGCTGCATGCCAAAAATGGTTAATATGCATTATCTTCCAAAATTAATAGTTTGTTGTACGACCCTAGTAGTAGATATATATAAAACACATTTAAAATGCTGCAATATATATATTACACCACATTAAGCATAAGGTCTAGATAAGATTGTAGTACAGAAGAAACATCATATGGTGAGGCAGAGCATCTTTAATCATTCGTGGGTCTGTTGCTCACAGATTTAAATGAGGATGAAAAAAGATCTCTCCTAAGATACCCTGCCTTTATGTGCTGTGCTGCCTAACTTTAAGGATCCTGTCATCATGATCAAGGATATTGAACTAACTTCGCTCCATATGATTTGTTTCAATTCTAAAAGAAAAAAGTCAAGTCAAATCCAGGTGAGACATTATTTTTCTCACCGGGCAGGGTTTGATATATTTATGTTTCAGTTATTTATTTATTCATTTTAGTATTTTCTGATCAAAAACATGATATCAAGGCTTTAAGTTGTATTAATCAATTTCTGGGTATTTTCATAGACTATAAATAAACTAGTCTGAGTAAAATTCTCAACAGCACTTGATAGATTTTTCTTATTGGACAAGATAAAGAGCAGAGAAACTATGCGTAGAACAGAAATTCACCACAGCACAACAGTCCTGAACTGTCTCAAATGAAACTAGCAAAATTTTTAAACAAGTAAAATTGAACATCTGAATCTAGTAGGAGATTATCTGCAGATGTGGTGTGGGTGGGGAGTAGAGGTCGAAACAGAGAAGATGCGATGCGCAGAGACAACTTGCACAGCAGCTGTCACAAGCAGCACCAAAATGCACACGGACCTGAGTTATAGCTCTTCCACATAAAGGAAGAAGGTAGAGCAGTGAGCCATGTCATCAACACACAGGAAGGAAAGAAGCACACAAGCACTGTAGTCCAAATGCCACGGCCAACACGTAGCTCATATCTCAAATGGACAGAGGAGCATCAGGCTCTAACCAGAGACTAAAGCACTGACAAACATCTGCTTTGATGAGCAGGGAGGCGATTGCATCCATCACACTAGCAATCAAGAAGGTCCTTTCCAAACCTAAATTGAAATAAAAAAAATACTACATTCATTAAACAAAGTGAATTATTTCTGATTGAAACTCTAAACCATGGTCCTTTCCAAAAATAATGAAAATATGGTTTTGGTCCACATAAAGTGGAGGTAAAAGTTGTTGAGATAACCCCCTACTTTTCAGAGTTAAAAAATACAAGAAAAAAACAGTTAAAAGCTAATTCAGCCGCCACCTTTCAAATTGAAATGGTTAACTTGAGAAGGTGGAGGTTGTATACTCATACAAAGCAACACAGAGCTGAATGATGTGCGGAAATGATAGATATCATTATGATAAATGATATTTTAGTAAGATGAGCTTTGGTGTTGTGTTTGAAGGTTGGCTGCATGAAAATTAAAACTAAACCCAAAATAGTCGAGATGATTTCTGAAATAAAAAATTTGCAATAAATGTATACAAACATAATATCAAAAGCTTTTTATACCTAGTTTGAAAGTTTACAAAAAATCTTATTAAAGAGCTCTGTTCAATGTACATTTTCTTTTCTTTCTTCAAGGCATTTTTTAATCATGCTGCCATATCCATCCAATCCAAGCAGTCTTTGGTACAACACACAGCTGGTATATTGCATCACTGACACAGGAGCTGAAAGATGGAGCTGGTGAGTCACAAACATTTAGCAGTCACTCGCCCCCTTCATGTTTTTCTTTCTTATTCCTTTGTCGTGTCTCAGTTTGATTGGATTAATTTTGGATGGCCTAATTTCCGTTTAAACCAAACGCAGTAGCATTCATGGATGGTGGAGTAAAAAAAAAAAAAAGATTTAGTGTATTTAAAATCCCCCCTCACTCAACCTAAATTGGAATATTGTCCTTGTAGCTGGATTGCCATTTTAAATCCCTGTGGTGCCGTGTGGCACTACAGGGATTTCAATTTTCCAAAAAGCCTAAATAAAAATCTACGTGTTCGATATGTGTTTTCTGAGGCATACCAATTACCTATAATTTCGTTACATTAAATGAGGTTGACTGCCCATTATTAAGGAGTGGCGTTACAATGGTTCTTTTGATGTTATTATTACTTGTAATGCTTTTCCTTATTACTAAAGTGTGTTTCCGCTTCGATATACTACTGACAGGCCATTTTAGTATGTATTTTTTTCTGATTGGAATCAGAGTGATTATTAAAGTAATACAACTTGACGTGACATTTGAGGGTCATTGTGCCCCATTGTGTTCTCAGTTGTATTGTATGGGCCCCTTATGAGAAAAATGCTGCCTGCCAAAGCATCAAATGGTTTCCTACAGCATTTTCATCTAAATTCTTAGTGTTAATTGTCTCTGAGGTACAAGATTCTGATTGACTAGTTTCATTTTAGGGTTTGTCAAACTAACAGTAACCATTCTTTTGAATTGTATTTGTCTGAAGGAGCTCTGTTTTGGATAATAAAGTGATCTTGGGCACACAGTCCTGTAATGTGTTGTTGTCCATGCCTAGTCATTATTTTATTTTGACACAAAGGTCAAACAAATAGCTTAAAGGTGAATTATCACTGTAATCTGCATTTCTCTTGGCTTATACTGAAGAGTGTGTTTTATCTGACCTGCTGCATTATGCATAACTCAATACAAGAATAATGGGTAGCATTGCATTTTGTAAGATAAGAAAAAAATGGTGTTGTAACTTGATTTTGCTGAAGGACAAAGGTCCCTATTTCTTTCCCTGTGGTCAGAATTCAGTTAGACAGCAGTAACACATTAGCAAAGACAGGCACTGTTTTCTTCACTGTGTGTGATTGACTCTACGTGAAGTGTTTTGACATTATGCAGACCATTAACCTATGAGCGTTACTAGAATGAGCCTGTGACTGACTGCACTCACACATGTGGAACATATAGTGGCTCTTCCTGATGTTTTAGAAGGAAGACTTTTTGTATCTGTCTAAGTAAAACTATCATATTTGCAGATCAAAGTGTAATCTTACACTTTTTGTACCCAGATTTCCTCTTATTACAGCCCTTTCTGGTGTGCATTCATCTCCAATTCCTTTTCCTCGTTCCATAGTCTGTGGTTAATAGAATGAGCTGAGGAGCTTAGAAAGGCAGAGGGAGGCGGATGTATTTATTGAAGCAAGCACAAGATGGATTGAGAGGGAGGGGGGACTTTTTGAATGGCACAGCAGTCTCCACCTGCAAAAACAAAGCTTTTGGAACCCTGCTACGCTGAGTTGAATAGAGGGAACGGATTCTCTTTTGTGATTAAGTCTGACATTTTATTGCCTTCACTTGCTCAGTTTTCTTCCTTTCTCATGGATGCATAATGGCAAAAGGTTCTCTCACAAATGCCAAGTACTTTTTTCATTGTAATATTGACAACTCTGTTGGTAAAAAATTTTGAATTTTCCTAAAAAGATATGGAAACAAGATATAAATCTACATATGTGGAAAGGAAAGCATTGGAGATGGAGCTGCAACATTGAGGATGAACAGACTTGGAGGAGGTCAGTAGCCACACATACTGACATGACTTTATGCACTCGAGTCATTGCACTTAAGAACCTGGTGCCAGTAATAATTCATTTTGACACGTTTTTTTTTTTTTCTTTAACGGAAGACCAAGCAGCAAAAATATCTTGGTCAAATTTTACACCATTTGTAAAAGTGTGAGATGGCACAACACCCTTTAATGGCTTTACAAATGAAGGAAAGACAAATATTCATCCACATGGTGCAATAAAAAGTGGATGAGTAGCTTAAATGGGCAAACAGTAGGTGAGGAGATGTCACAGTGGGGTTGAGAAAGCAAACAGGAAAAAGGACGGATGGAGCAAGGTGATTGTGAAATGTACCAATCTACCAGGAGCATGCCATGGACCAGCCCTTCCTCTAGTTCCCCACAACTGATGAGGGTGACCTTTGTTCTTCTCTGACACTGAGTGAATACATTATCCATTTGTTTATAAGTCACCCCCTTAAACTTACAGGAGGGAGAAGAGAGAGGAGGAAAAGGGATGAACCTAAAGGAGGGAGAAGGAGCAGAAGCACGATCAAAGGCGTGAAATGAACAAAAAGGATTTGGTCAATTAGGCACTTTTAAAGAATTTTCTAGCAGCAATACAGCGCCGTCAACATATTGGTAGTGTTGTGACTCTGCTGCTGCAACATGTGGATGGAAACCAAGACGGAGGTGGAGGTCGTCAGCAGGAGCCGTGCCAGTTTAAGTCGACTTGTTCTGAACAGTCTGCTTTTGTGTACAGGAGACATGGAGCACTTAGATAAACACATGCAAGGTAGGAAAATACTCAGTTACTCTAATACCTATAGTCCTGAATGTATAAACCAATGTAAAATATTTGGACTGAATGTGAGATTTCCTCTTTATGTAATCGATCATAAAACTTAGAATTCCTAAAGACTTTGCAAGTTTAACATGGCGTAAGTAGATGACTAAGCTATGAATACATCATCATTAAAATATGCAAATGCAATCATCACACAGCTCCCACAGAGAGTACTGCTGGCTCATCCTCCAGCTCAAAACGTAATCATTAGATTTCTATCCTAGTTCCTTTTCAAAAACTTGAATTCACTTCCAGAAATCCTACTGTGGGGAATAAATCAAAGTAAGCATTTTATGGTTTCCATTTTAAAACGTTTGTGAACATTTTGTTCTCTGTCTCTTTTTTTTCGGTCCCCATGTTTGTCTCCTGTTTCACAGACAAGTGGTTTATACTGCAGCTGGCTATGTGGGGGCTGAGAGGGGTAGCCAGGGTGATTCTGGCCAACAACCCACTGAGTGGTGCTCTCATCCTGACTGCCCTGTACTGGGCTTCCCCCTGGCAGGGTCTGCTGGGATCACTGGGAGTTCTGGCCTCGACAATAACAGCTGTCATCGTAGGACAGGACAGGTGGAATGCCTTGTTCTTTTTTACTGGTTGAGTATGTCCATCTATCATAAAATAAAAAAAACACAAAAACAACTCGAAGCAGCCATGTTGTGTGAATCCTTCTGCTGTGTGTCTGTGCAGTGCTGAGCTGGCAGGGGGCCTTCATGGTTTTAATGGCATGTTGGTCTCTCTGCTGATGGGAGTTTTCAGCTCGGCTGGAGACTGGTACTGGTGGCTGTTGCTCCCCGTCTGTCTAGGTTCAGCTACGTGGTAAGAGATGCACACACACCTTTGCTTAAAACTCAACTGTAACGGCCAACATTTCCTCCATCCTGAAGTGGGTCATCTTCCATTACACAGTAATCATTTTGTAGTGCAGTTCATGAACTTTTCAAAGCAACTGCATAGTAAAGAAACAAATCTAAAATAAAAAGCTGAGTTTTCGAGTGAAAGTTTATTTCACTATCGTCTTGTGTTATTTAGTAAAATAACTAATGTGAACTGGCTCCATATTGAAGACAAACACATTTCTGATGCAGCATGTTGTATTCTTTGTAAACCTTTTATCAATTGAACACTTTTGACTATACATTTCTACCAGAACTTGCAAGACATGTTTCATATTAAAAAAAAAAGATGTTTTACACGGAGTGTGGGCACTTGGAGTGTGTTACATGAAAGCTATGTAAAATTCTATGGCTGTTTTCATTATGAAGGCTTTCCTTTTTTTTAGTGTCTTCCTATTCAGTGGACTCACAGCATTACTGGCCCGCTGGGACCTGCCAGCTGCCGTGTTTCCCTTTAACATCGTTATCATCCTCTATCTCCTTTGTACCGGGGAAAACAACCCCTACTTTCCACATCATCCAGCAATGCCTGCTGGGATGCTGCATCCCAATGTAACAACACTCAGTGGTCTGCAGGTGAGGGTTCACCAACACAACAAAGAATGACAAGTTTTTCTGTCAAAATACTTCAAACTATGTATTGCTGAACAGTTGGATTTAAAATATTGCGGAAACTTCCCTTTTTTCAGACAGGTAGAAGCTCCAGTGTCAAACAATGATTCCAATGTACAGTCAGATAAGAAAGCAATGCACTATCACTAAAATAGTGATAAAAATAAAAACTTTAAACTGATGGATATGAAATATATACATTAACCTCATATGTTTAGATACTGTACAAATGGTATCTGCTTGAATCATTGCAGAGCTACAATTTTTCTTAGAAAAATTTTCTTAATCCAAAAACCCTTTACTCACTGCTTGCCCCAAAAAAATAATCATTTGACACATCACAACTCTAACTCATATAGCAATTTACTGACTTTGCCCAAAAACACATCAATAAATTGATGCTGTGTTTTTAAAGTTACTCTCCACCAGATACCATGCATACATTAAGGTGTGGTGTAAGTCTGCAGCATTGACACTTCAGCTGCTCAATAAATATTTTATAAAATGTGCTTTAGGTGATCTGTCTAATGCATGGTACAATTACTATTATTGGTATTAGTAGTAGTAGTGTTATTACTGTTTTTAGTGTGACATGGCAGAAATGTATATAATTCCAAACTGTACTTAAAGTCTCATTAAATAACTTTATCAAATAGGTGTATGTGATAGACAAGCAAAGTTTTTAGGTTAAATGTTAAACTGTAACATGCTTAAAATCCTTTAACAATGTTTAATCTGCCACTTGAACTGAAGCCTTTACTTGGAACCGACAGAAATTCTGGAGCTTTATTGGCACCATATAGTATTAATAATCATGAGTTAATAGCTATGCACCACCCTGTGTACATAATAGATTATTATCCAGAGTTACAAATATGTGGCCTCCACACAAAACTCAGTGGTTCCTCGTAGTCTGAGCATGACAAAATTGACCTCCAACTTACACAACAACACTTTTTTAAAAATCACTAGAAATTTGTGGGTAAAGGTTGGCTATGTAGTCTTTTGTCACTTGCAAAGGTTGATGCTAGATAGGGTTTGACCTTTAAGTTAAAAATAGAATTTCATGCAGGGGTAGAGAAGATAGAAATGAAAAAGAATAGGCATAATGTTCTTTATCAACTTCCACCACAGACTGAATCTGTTCCAGTTGTGGGTGTGATGTTCAGAAACTAATTTCTTCTAGTACTTGTTCTTATGTATACCATTTGTGCTTATTGATGTCTTGACTTACAGTTCAGGATTGTTGACGGTTGATTGTGCCTTCTTAAAGTGAAAAATACACTCAAGACAGTTCAATGCCGTTGTGAGACCAGGGTTGCTTCATCTAAAATAAAACTAAAAAAGCCACAGGAGTGAATATTGAGTAGGTGAATTATGAATAAGATTTTTTCAAAGTGGGGATTTTTTGTCCAGAAGATTTGTTTTCGTGTATCTTTTTCATAAATACCCAGTGTCTCTTTTTTCCTGCCATGAATATAGAATATGATAGATAAAAATAGAGACCAGAAGCAAACACGTGATTGATAAGGGCAATATATCCATAAATCAGACAAGCCTGTGTCTGTTACTTAGCAACAGTCATTAGTGGAGATCTGGTTGCAGAAATATATTCAGCACAAACTGTTTAAACTGAAATTTGTTGGTTAGAGACCAAAATAAGGTGTTCATGACATTTTCTGCAGTTTCTACGACCTGATTTGATCCTGAAAAACCCAGAGTTTCAGGGGTGATTGACTGCTTTACTGCTTTTCGTTTGAGACACACTGATGTTCATTAGGGATGGGACGGTTTCTGAAAACCGTCCGAACCGTTCGGTTCGACAGTCTCGGTTCGGTTCGCGTGTGTTGCGTTCGGTTCATGCGCTGTTCCTTTTTCTCAGAGGGAAGCGCGTTCACTCCAGAGCAGAAGGGGGCGCTTTATTAGTATTATTAGTTTATAGGTCTGCTGTATGGACCACTTTGCATTTAGAGGGAAGCACATGTTGGAATTAGCACTGTTTCCTCTCTTGCAATGCCATAATCTCACCCACTTTTAACCTAAGACTGTCACAATAATGTATCAAATGTCAGACTGCTATTTTCTTTCAGTTTTAACCTGACTAAACAAGACATAATAGATTTTCCTAACAATCAACATATACCGAACCGAAAACCGTGACCACGAAACCGTGAAGCGAACCGAACCGTGGATTTTGTGAACCGTCCCACCCCTAATGTTCATAGTAATTTCTTTTCCTGGTCATTTACAACACTCAAATGAACTATTGTGCTGACCATGCAGGTGGATTTGAATATAAAATAAGTTAATCAATATCATTTGTAGATTAAGAATTCATCTCTGCACTCCTCATATAACCATAGCTTGTTTTTGGCAATTATCTCATTCTCAGTTATGTGTTGGTTAAGATAGTTCTGTGTGTCTGACGTGTTCCATTTGCAATTGCAAAGTTAATTTAGAAAAAAAACCCATTGCGGGCTGTTCTATTCTGATGTCTTTGCTAAAATACGTTTCTCACACATTATTTGTGGCAGTGGCTTGCAATGGTGAGACTTTTACTGTAGTTCACTGCTTTATCCTCCGTTTTCCAGCATTCTTGAGGTTAAAGGTATGGTGCAGTACCAAATACCTCCTTTACTATGTAAGAAGGCAACCAAAAACAACAGATAAGCCCAATTTACAGTGTTGCCTACCAATGCAAAAATCTGTTTTCCACAAACTGAAGAAACAAATACAATCTCTCTGTAGAGATGCCGACTTGTCCTCGCATTCACCATTCCTTTGTTTCCTCCCTCTGTTTTATCCTTTCACCTTACATTCTTTTCGATCTGTCACCACCTTTTTTCTTATTCCACGCATTTGTTTCTTCCTTTGATTATCCCTTGCCCGCATTTCTCCTCTGTTTCTCTCCAGAGATGGAGATGACGTCTGTCCTATTTATATTCAATGTCTTCTGTTCCAGTCACTCTGCTGTGCATGGCCGTAAGACCACAACGGCATATCTAATCTCACACACACATGCACAGAAATACACAGAGGCTCATGCACAATGGGTTGTGAGGCAGCGATGGAATTAAAAACCCTTTATGACTTGTAAATATCAGTGGCAGGCAGGTGTGCCCAGCATGTCACCATGGAAACCCCTCACTTCTGACAGTCAAAAGCATTTGTCTATGTGTGTAAGCATTCAAGCAGAATGAGAAAAGAGCAGCTGATATAAACTGAGCGGAAAGCAGCAGTACATTAAACACGTCTTGTGTTTTGGGAATATCCTCCTCCTCTGGAGACATTCATTGCATGTAAACAAATGTGAGATGTTTGCCGATGCTAGAGTAAGCATTTCTGCAAATTCTCCCGAAATTCCCTTGTTTGCTCAGGTGTTGCACGGTATCCCCCTTGGTGTGGGTCAGATCTTCGCGTGTGGAGTCCTTGGGCCTTCTCTTCTCATTCTTGGAGCTGTTGTGCTGTATTCCCCACTACTCGCCATCCATGCTCTGCTGGGATCAGCAATTGGAACATTGGCAGGTCAGACTGGAATGTTGTGTGCCATGCCTCAATCCCTTCTGTTCAAGAATTAATTTAGAAAATAATGAAAATTCAACATCCTTCATGTAATTTTGTGACACTGGTCCAATGCGCCTCATAAACCATAACTCCATTACCACTCTATCCATTAAGTATATGTGTATAAAGCCCTGGGTGATGCTGGGTGCACTGGTATTGGATAGGATTTAAAACAAATATTTTGGTTGGTAAAAAACATTTAGTGTTCAGTTGGTCTAAATCCAACTCTTAAGAAACTAGATTTATTTTCTGTCAACTTTTCTGGTGCCATTTTCTAAACCTATAAAAGGTTTTACAGTTGTGATGAGACGTTCCACTATAACTATTCAGAAAAGATAGTGTCAAATGGTGTAAGTCCAGTCCTGCCCCTATGTATTGCCACAACTGCAGCACAAAGTCCTGAAAGTGTGTGTACATGTGTGTAGAACCTATGAGTCACACCATTAGAAAAAAAATAGAAGAGTGGCAGGGAGCTTAGATGCATGAACATGTAAAATCCTGTGGCCATGGTGCTGCTTACGTTGGCAGGTACACAAATATACTGCCGCAATTTCCCAGCAAGGGCAGGATCCACACCATACAGGTCGCCATTCCCAGCATCATCATTTAAATTGTCATCTATTTCTCATTCAGCCTTTCACTTTCCCTTTTATCCACTGAATAAAATTTAAGAACTGTTCTCGTGCACTTTATATCATTCCACCTTTGTGTTCAGAACTAAAGGGGTGCACGCTTAATTTCAGGAAGGAGAAGACTGTATTTGTTTTTGCTTTGTATTGTATTGTATTGAGGTCGGTGATGGGGGATGCAATGACTAAACAATAGTGTTGATTCCTCCTGTTCCTGATAGTCCGTATTTAATAGGACTCAGAGTGTCATTGGTTGGAAGTTTGAGAGGAGAAAGACATGGAGCATGTCTGGAATCAGCAGATTGCAAGGCCATATTTAGAGCTGGTACTCAGAGCATAATTGCGTTTAATACTCCCGTGAGGGGTTTCCAGGGGAAACGATCAGGGGCTGTATGTAGGCCAGTTCCTCTCTGCCTCGTGCTTATTTCCCTTTGTAGAGAAGAGAACAAAAAAATCCCATGGTGAGATCAGAAACTGGAGAACACATACCCTGGGATATAAATTATTTGTAGTTTGTTGTTTACATTATGTTGGATTATGTTTGGTTTTTAATGGAAAAAAAGAAAGTGTTCACCTGTCAGAATGTTGCATCTGCCATCTGTGGTTGATATGCATCATCGGTAGGTCAGAGAAAGCAGGTTGGAAGACAAGTGTAAATATTACTCTCTCCCAATTCTTAGTACCATTTCAGCTTGAAGCAATTTGAATGGTGTTCCACAAAGTTTAACACCCATAATGAATAATATTTCAGCATCTATTAAAAAAAATTGGACATTTAAGATAAGAGTGTAGGAAAATGTAAATAGGTAATAATTTCTCTTTACAGTGGTCAGACCACTGGTAATTGACTTTAACACTGATCCAACTCAAATTTGATGTATAAAAAAGCTTTTTAATTAAATAACAGAATTAATTGTACCAAACTGCATTACTGATGCAAACGATAGTAGCATTTGCAACAAATCCCTTGCAAATCACTTGTAACTAATCAGTCTAAGGGGGTTAATGAGTAGATTGGGTTAATGAAATTATCATCTGTCTCCGTTTTTTTTAGCATGTTTTACATTACATAAATGCTATTCTAAGTAAAAATAATAAACATAATGCCCCTGTGTGTTTGCAGTGATTGTAACTTGACACTGTGCCCAAGCTGGTTCACTAATACTGCCACGGAATTGGTTTTTGTATCTACTTGAAACTAAGGTTTCAAGTAGATACAAATCAAAATCAAAATGACAATTCTAAATCCGTGGCAGTAAATCATCTTATTTTATGAGAGAATTTTAAAATAATATATTTTTCTTTAATTGGATCTACAAGAAATTCATGTAAAGATGCAGGTGCAAATACAAAGTTAGAGTCCCTGCACTGGGGTACACAACTTAATACGTAACTTTTGCAAACTAGGTCCTCTATATATGGTGCAGCTGTTAATGACAGCTGTTATCCAATGAGCCTGGGAGCAATCCATTCACCTCTTTTCACAAACAGTTGTGCTCACAAAGACTTTACAGGACACTATGACGGATTCAAGGCAAAAACACAAAGTTAATCAGTACACAACCATGTTGGGAATGAATAATAATTGTGGCTTATTTTAAGTTATCATTTTAGAGTAATATGCTTTCATTGTCCTATGCGCTGCTTTTGGAAAATAAATGATGTGGGGAAAGTAGAGAGCAGAGGCAACATCCTGTGTTTAAGTTCATAAGATCATCTAGACTAATTCTGCCATTATAGACATCTCACTAGGAGTGGCTCATAAGCACACATTAAGACACAAAAAGGCAGGATGACAGAAAACCAGCAAAGATTTTAGCATCCTCTAGGGCTTGTAACAGAACTGCCATCCATCTTTAATATCACACGTGTGAATACAGGGGACTAATAGAAAGAAAGAGGCAGAAAAATGATGGAAACAAGGAAAGGAAAAAAGAAGTTTAGATGCTTAAAAAATTATTACAATGAAACGGACAACGCAACAACAAATTCACTATGTAAAAAAGAATAGAGTGCAGAGTAAGGTGGCCGTGAAGGGGAAGAAACTAACAGAGGCGAAGGGGAATGGATCACCAGCAGAGTAGCCCAGCAGACACACAGCTTTAATGGGCAGCATAGGGGTGTGGTCAGCCTGCTCCTTTCATAGTCTACTAAACCACAGCTCTCTTTGCCTGAGAGTAAGAAAATAAATCACAAATCCTGAGATTAATTATCTACAGGTAAGCTTCCAAAATGGACAGTTCTATGAAAACAAACAAACTATGTAGTCGTAACAAAGGAAGGATGTTGTGCAGACTATTGAATATGTTTAATTTTTTATCTTTGGTCAGCATCCATGATCAGGCATTCTAGAGTTCTCAATAGATTTTGAAAAGGCCTTTCCATAACACAGACTTTTACAATGACCAATGAAGCTAATGGAAATGTCATAAAAACACCCCACATCTCATCAGGATTATAGTGCTTATGTGAAAAAAATAAATATGCACATTGGAAGTTAGGTCATTTTAATGTTGGTTTGATCATTGGAAATAAAAATACTAAAGTTATCCTGCTTCTTAATCCTCATTGTAATTTATTAAATAAGTAACATGTGCATAGGTGCTCAAATTATTTATAAAATAGGAAACCTATTACTTATTATATCATATTATATGGACAGTGATGACATTTTTATCATGTGTGGTCCTAAGATTACACATCATGGTGACTTAAGTGTTTGTCTGACATTTGTTCAAGTGTTTTAATGAGATTCTCATTGCTTCCGAACAACAGGGTGATGGAGTGGCAAGAAAGGTGGAGGTGACATATATTTCCCTCGGGATGTGAATCTGCAATGATTATTAGTGTGCACCCTAAATCTAAATTTTAATTTGTCCCACAATTTGATTAATGACCTAATCTTTAAGACATGATAATTGACCAACACTTAAAAATTGGATGAAGGTGGTGCGACTTTTGAGAATCATCTGATTCTAAGCCTGAAACGTAATAGAATACTGATACCACTCACCAATACTTGGCATTTTCAACCAACAGAAAAAAAGAACAAAAAAAACAAACAAGAGAGCCTCTTTTGGTGCGGCTTAGGAAAGCAAAAAGAAAATTAGCATTGGTCCAAATCATTCATTACATCATGTCAACACTGTTGAACTTGACTGTAGATGAAAAACTTTTAAGATAAATGATGTGATTCATGCCTTGACTAAAAAATCCAAATCTTATTTAGCAATTTACTTTTTCTCGGCTGACGTGAAAGGTTAAACTAAAACTAAGCACCAACAGCAGCTGTACAACTGTGTGTGTCTAGCACCCCCAGATGGAGGGTGAAGCTTTGAACATTCATCCTGAAGGGTTATATCCGTGTGTGTTTGCTGTTGTATACTTTCATATTCACACACCTGTCAACTGCTGTGACTCACTGTTTTTGTAATCACCCTTGGTTTTCCCCCACGTGTCAGGGTTATCCATGGCGGTACGTCATGAATTGCTGTACGCGGGTCTGTCAGGCTTTAATGGAGCTCTGGGCTGCATGGCTGTTGGAGGACTCTTTTTCACCTTCAGCTGGAGGATCCACATTCTTGCCATAGCTAGCGGTGACAAATGCACACGCATGAGCACGTAGACACATCCTATTTTCTCATCCTGAATCTAACATAATACAAAACAATACTTGCCAATACAGCTAAATCCATAACTTTGATAGAAATGGTGTAACATCCTTTATGAGAGGTCCCTCATTTGTTTGAATCATTAAAATGTAACTGAATAGCTCCGTCAGTCTCTTCCCATTCAAACTTTTTACTACACATTACTATCCATTGATTCACCTATATATATGACTTTATATTCCTACTGATTCAAAGTAATTTTCCCATTTATTACCTATTATTCTGTCCCCTGATTTTACTTTTTTTTTTTTTTTAGCTCATTCTCATCAGCCCATTACCTGTAATTACATTAGTAATTAGACAGTGTGATTCTGCCATCGTGTTACTTCAAAGGTTGATTCTCAATTACTTAGACTGGCTTTTCAAAGTACACTTATACCCATTAATTCAGTCCTGAGGACCATCATAAATGACATCTGGAGAATAAAGGCCATTAAAATTGGCCAGCTTGGAAAAGAGCTAATCTGTTCACATTAGGTAAATTGGCTGTAATTGTGGTTTCCACCAGTCCAGCTGCAGCTGACTGCTCCTGTGCAGTAACAACATCAGCAAGCTGGAATAAATGTGTGGCAACCTTTCTGTGTTTAACCTGACTTTTTATCATCTGCCTGCAGCTTTCCTCTCTGCATATGCTGACATTGCCCTGAGCAATTTGATGGGAACTGTAAGTACACGCACATTTCTCTATAGAATTTGTTTTAGGCTCTATTTCACATTAACTGGCCTTTGAAAACACCACTGTGCATCATCAATTTTATTGCATTTTACCATACATCAACATTTGTGACATGAATCATGCCGAGCTCCTGTGTGCACTGAGTCAGTCTTTGTTTGAGATTTGCTCCAGATCATACAGACAATTTTCCACCACCCTACTGAAATGCCTGTTATGTTAAAGTAAGAAATCACAAGGAAGTCTTCTGCCTTTGAAAAGAAAATCCCAATGTGCTGACTGCTATGAGCACACATGCACAGAAAAGAAACACATTGTGCCTGAAAATGTCATCCCTTCTCAGTTTCATTCATTATTTAGCATTCTCTTTCCATGACTAGGTGGGTCTCCCAGCATGCAGTTGGGCAGCTACTCTCACAGCCACACTGATGTTGCTGTTGACTGGCAGTTTAGCAGCTAACCGCATCCCCATTGGTCAAGTGATGGCCCCTGAATGCAACCTGCGCTCCAGAGGCCAATGGGAAGCTGGGAACACAGAAGACAGGGAGAGCACAGATGTGTAGTGTGAGGACACACATACACTCACACAAACAGAGTACTGTACCACTTTAAACACTTTGTGAAGGCCATGACTATGTAGTTGATCCACAAGGTGGCAGTATATCTTTGGCAAACAAACTTTCATGGTGAATCTCAAGGCCACTGAATTTGCTATCTCTAGTAAAAGTGTACGTTTCTCAATTCAAATAGTGTTGCTTTTTTATCATTTCCCTCTCATCCAAGATGCATAGAAAAAAAATATAAAAAAGGTAATTTAAAGGGAAAGGAAACTTCCTTTAATTATCATGAAAATGATAATTCAATCAAACAAAGGTTTAAAAGGACAATTTGACTGTTATTGATAAAAACTCAAACTGATTCTACAGCATAACTTTGAAAATTCATTAGTGCCCTGCATAGACATGCTTGACTGCACTCCTGACACTATTTTTTTATTTTTTATTTTTTTCCTTTAAAAAAAAAAAAAATGTGTTTCTTCTTTTTTTTTTTTCCTTTTTTTCCCCCCTCTCCTCTGACACTATTGTAAACAGATTGTACACAAAGCTCTACACAGGCAGACAATGAGACTGTAAAACTTGGAATGTCTTCTCAGAATAGAAAGTCAGGACCTTATTTTGCCTTCAGATTACAGGCAATCCTTCTGGAGTATCATTTTCAATTGTAATAAATGATCTTACATGAAAAAGTTGTTGCTCATTATACTTTTGTTTTTTCACAGTGCTTCGTGTTGCCTGTGTTGATATTTTTAATATATCCTCCCTTTTTTGAAACACACAGTTGTTTTTGTTCACACAAACATCTCTTAAGCATTCATCATATCAAAGCCAAACTTATCCCACAGTAACCACCCAACCCACCTTTACTGGTGTGGTGAAAAAAACAACATATTTTCAAAAGCTTTTTTCTAAACACTATGCAATTCTTAATTTATGGGTGCTTTATTTCTGCTAAAACAATTTCCATGTGCAGAAGTGTATTATTTACACCACAAAGCACTCACAGGTATGGTAAACGACAAAAAGAAATGTACAAAAGTGCCTTTCAGTCTGTGATTGATCAACTGTAACAATACAAAAAAGAGGAAATCAAAAGTATGTGTGTATGCATTCTCACACACACGCGCAAACATTTAAAAATGTTTCAAAAAACGTTTTACAACATTCATAGCCCTACATGAATTTAGTGGAAGGTTCAGCTCTCAGTGCTGTTGTTCTCAATTTTGCATGTGAGTGCGCATCAGTGCATGAATGGTTACATTTACGCTTCGGTAGATTTCAGAAAGACACAACTGTCCTTGTGGACTGAACACACACAGTCGTACATACACCTTGTAAAAAGGCTTCACATATGGATACAGCAGTACATTCTGGCAATGTCTACAGCATTTAACCACTGTCTTAAGTTATGTGAAAAGAGGGAGTCAGACCTGTTCTAAGCAACTAAACCAACTGTAGAATTGAGGAATGGTGCATGTTTTTATAGCTTTTTTATGCAGCTTTTTTATTCCTTGAGGCATGAACTCATTTGCATTTTTTTCATATTTTCCTAAATCTTTAGACCTACACTGGGTGAAAAACAGCTAACAGAATATCTTTATTCATGTCATCAGTTTAGACTATATGACTACAGTTCCATCTACATCTGTCACTACATTTATATTTGTATTGTATGAATTGCCACACAGATGTTTTATTCTTCATGCATGTAAACATTAATCTAAACCAAACAAGTGTAAACTATACCACTCCTGGACTTGGTCGGTATTTGGACTATTTCATTATCATATAGGGCTAAAAAAACAACATTCCTATCAACAATCTTATCTATAAAAACAAGGAAGGAGGAATATAAAGTTATGATTTATTAAGTCCAAGGGTGCAGAGCAACCTGTTAACATCATAAATAAAACCAAGCATTTTTCTTTGCTTCCAAAATTTCCAATAGTTCCTTAGCTTAATCTTTTTTTGTTAGATTTCTATTTAACCTTACTTCTTTAATTATTTACCCTACATAAATTTTCATTTGTGGACCAATGAAGTATAAATTAATTAAATTAACTTTCACAAATGTATGGGCACATGAGTACTTAAACTGTCTGGGTCATTCCTGACATTAAAAAAATAAAATACAATTCTACACTGGCTCATTTGAACAACTTTAAGTCCGATTTCCCCCCCCCCCAGTTACGTTTAGAAAATGTACTGAATGGGTTGTAAAGATGTTGTTCTTTTACATTACCCAAAAATATATGGTCAAATGTCAGAGGTTTTGCTGATCATTTTGCTTAATTTTTCCTTTTTCCTTTTGTACAATCTTAATCGTAACTAAATGCAGATAAATTGCTATTGTCCAGAAAATATGTTGAAATGTTTGTTCATATAGTCCCTTTTAAAAAAGAGAAAAGTCACCCTGTTTTTAATTGCTTATAAAAGCACATTTTTGTCCTGATTTAAAGAGAAATTATTCTAAACTTATAACTAAAAAACTATCCAGGGACCTAGGGCTCTGCTCCCTTAAACTATTCTGTTCTATCCCTCCTTGACACTTGAAGAGAGATTGTTATATACAAAACCATAAGAGGATTCTTAGAAAGATTAGACCAGCTTTACAATGGAATTTGACTCAAAGCTTGAACCATATTATGTAAATCCTTCAATTACTGCCACACAGACTCAAAGGAATCTCAAACTGTGCCCCCAAAAAAGCTTACTCCTTTCCACACAGTGCTGTGCAGGTCGTGTGGTCTATTTTGTGTATTTTATGAGTGTAAGGGGCTTTGTGTATCAACTTGAGCGTAAACTGTTGTTACCGGTACATATAGCACAAGGCAGACATGTGATACTTTCCATTAATGTAATGGCCGCTGAATGTCACATCTGAATGAATAATTCCAAAGTATAAAGTAAAAAGTACTTTTAACCCAACACAAAACTGAGCAGCTTAGGTCTCAGCATGAATCTGTGGAAAAGTTTATCTTACAATATGCATTATTCAGTAATTCATTCAGATGCTTAAAATGTTGCATTGAACAACAGTTCCATCTTGTTTTGAACTGTTTTTGTTGTAAATTCTTATTGGAATGCGCTTTTGCCAACTTAAAAAAAAAAAAGTGCTTTCAGTTGTATTCCGATATCATTATTAAACGCATGTAAGATTCATGATAGTTGTAGGAAAGCAAGGGATTGAGACGTATTGATATGAATGTTGTTGAAACACGAAAAACTTTTTCCAGAAAAGTCAGACTTTTAAAGGAATTTGGTGCTCTTGCTCAATTCGTAACTAAGCTAGAACATTATTGGAAAGTTAGCGCATGTCTAAATGACACCGTGAGGAACATTAACATACATATCAGCAATATGTAAATGACTGAAGGTTGTTGCTTTAAAATAATGAATAAGCAGTAAATGTTGGGTATCTCATCTCTTGCAAAGTCTTAAGTGTGCAATAATATTTGTGTGATTGTTTCAAGTGTTTTTAATGTTCAGAGCAGTCTTCCCAGCACCACACCCTCTCTGCTCCTGGCCTCCCCTCTGAGGATTTCCAAGAAGCCCAGTTTTGTCAAGAACTCCAGCCTTTGACGGTCTGTTGGTTGTACCTCGCAGAACACACCCTGAGAACCTACACACATAACCAAAAATTAAACACAAAAAAGATATTCAACAGCTTTCCCCCCCTCCAACTCAGTTGAAATCATTTAAATTGGGCTTAATACGTAGAACCATTTCTCTTTGCATCCCAAAGTGACAGAGAATGTAATACGACATAACATCAGTATTCATGATAATGAACAAAGAGTGAATGTTTTACTAAATTTAGACACCTACAATCATCAGTGTTAGGGTGGTACAGTTTCTTCCAAACAGGGAATAAAATTGAATTTCTTTGATTGAACTAGGAACCAGATGATGGTTTTAAAGTAGTACATTCCCTCATTTTTCTATATGTAAGACAACCTCCACGAAACGGTGCTTACCATTGGCCTTGAGTGCAGTGAGTAGAGTGGTGAGCAGAGTTCGGCTGACGCTGATGTCCACCAGCTCCGGCAGGGCGTCCAAACGCAGCTGAGACGGAAAGTGATATAGAAGACTGTCTGGGTACTCACCCTGGTCCTCTTCCATTAACTTGATTAAGTCCTATGCACAGACATTCAGGGAGGAAAAGGCTGTCATTTTACTGTTATTTACAAATCTAAACGTACAGCATAAGAACTATATTAACTAGAACCTGAACCGCTTAGGCAAACTCATGGTTAGATGGAGTGAAGCGAGAGAAACTTAGAACGAAGAAATATTAAACCAATTGAGAATGGGGAAAAATCAACAATAAAACCGAAATGCAGTTAGTGAGAAAGAAAGTTAGGCAAAATGGCAGTGTGTCGAAACAAATATTTGCTCTAAAACCTTTGGTTAAAAAAAACGAATCAATTAATTTAGATAGCTAAACCGGTTGGAACAAGAAGCCTCAACTGATGTGTGATAGAAGTGAGGGCCATAAAGGACTGAGAACTGTAATAAGTCAAATCTTATAATCACTATGAGAACTTGTCAATGGCCTTAAAATTAGTGGAGAGTATTTTTATGCAATTAGTCCCACTGTGGGATTATACTCTTGAGTCCCTTTTGAGTTATACAATGTGCAAAACTATAGTGATCTGCACCCAAATTCTACTAAAAAAGAAGAATGGAATTATTATGATAGAATCATTATGTCAGGATTGACAAGTAGTGAGCATAAGATCCTTTGTAGATACATACCTCTGTAACTCTATCTCTTGTTGAAGAGGTTAAAAAAGCTTTTCTGTCTGAAAGGCAACCTGGTTGCAGATAATAGTCCTCTTATTATGTTTTTAAGTTTCTAAATCCCATTACAGGCAAGTATGCAACCCAACAGGAAGTAACGAAGGGGGAAATAAAAGCAGAAAATGGAGTGTTGTGAATTTGTCACCTGAAGCTAACTTGCAAAAAGAACCTTTCCTGCCTGGCAGCAGGGAGAATGGCAGTCATCCAAAGCCTGATAGTCAGCATGACGCTTCAAGCAGTGAGCTCACTCCTCCACAGATGTCAAAGGCTGACTGCACGTGTTTGTCATCGTCAGTTCTGTTTGGCATCCGAGGACTTTAGCGTGATCAGTTATAGCACTGTTCCCGAGCTGTGTGTCACACTATGAACCTTATGAACCTTCGATACTCAACAGAAATGCTGACATGTAAAGAACTGGATTTTTGTCGGCAATAGTGTTATGAACACAATATTTTTCATGGAAAGAAATACTAAATTGTTTAAGCTTTATTCCAAATTCAGTGATCTGTGAGACTTTTGTCCTGTATTCTATTTGTTCCACCACGATTCCAGTAGGTTATGAATATTTGGCAAAGGGACACAGATGGCTTGACAGCAGGTACTGACATATACAGTCATTTGTGTGAACCTCGTGTTTTGTTGTGTTTGGACATAATTGTTAAACACATTGAGGCTCAAGTGCACATATTTCATGAACCATCTGTTCTGTATATTGGTCATTTATTCACCTGTGTGTTAGGGTGTGTATTGTTCCCTCTAGGGGGGTATTTGTCCCTCATGGCAGGTATCCAGCTGGCCTGACACCGCTTGGCAAATGAGCGAACATCTAAGATGCCAAGCACACAGCCGCACACACCAAGCTCATCTTCCAGGATGAAGCTGTACTCTGGGCTCAACGCCAGGCATGGGCCAAGACATCTGAGAGATGAGATTAGGTATTGCATGAGAAAATGGGTACACAGTGGTTCTCAAATCAGTCTGGTAAGAAGAGAAACCCATCCTCTTTAGGGTTTCCTTGACCCACATGCATGTGCTGACAGACCTGTCGCCTATGACATCTGGATGAGCTGTGCTGGACTCCTGGCCACCCTGAGTCCTCAAATGAAACTGGCGAACCATTCGGTAAAGCTCCACCTGCATACATACCCATAAACTTTCAGCATAGTGTGTTTCTCATAACGTAGTGTTCAGATAGCTGAGCAATTAGGAAGGATTTGGAAACTGTCTGAGCAGTATGAGATAACTCAAATGTTCAAAGATTCCTTTTGTGATATTCAATTCATTTTTCTGGCAATGAATATTTTCCTGAAGGCCTCTCTTACCTTGTCTTTGTTGTGGTAGGGTCTAATATTGTAGAGACGCGAGGTAGGGAAGAGTGGAGGAGGATGAGTAAAAAGTTCATTGCTGCTGCCAATTGGGAGGAGCATCTAAGCAACACAAACAAACACACCTTAGACAGATTAAAGGATTTAACTTTACAGAGTTATGTTGACTATTCATCGGAATTTAAGATCACAAGGAACTTCACGTACCCAAATAAGCAAATCTATGGTAAAAGGTTTTTCACACACTACCTGCACCTCCCCGGACACTCCACCTTTGAATGCCCATGGCTCTGAGTCTACTCCCAGCAGGTCAGCTCCTGTGGTCTTCCCACACCCTTCAACAGAGAAGAATGCCATGCAACTCAGAAGCCTTAGCATTAGGAAAAAGATATAAGAAAATTTATGGCTGGGCCTTGGGAACTAAATACACTATCTTTAGTTTTTTAAGCTGCCATAATTGTATGATGCATAAGTGGTGATAACATTTTTGATAATCTCCTCTAATTTTGCAAAATTAAGTCACAAGAGTGTTTTTTTAGGGATCACAGATGATGAGAGAAAACTTCATGCCCACTCACAGTGAAAGCAGTTCCTCCAGGTGCCAAGGGTGGAGCTGTCACTTAATACTCGGCCATCTAGGTGAGATAGATGAGAGTGAATGGTAGAAAGTAACAACCGGAGAAACATATCATACAAGTGAAACACTGCACTACTGTTCAGAAAATGTTCAGTTTCTCCAGTATCAAACATGATAGACATAGTTTAGGATATGTTGGTGTAATAACATGGTGTTTTATATTATATGATGAGTGTATGTCATCATATCATGGATGTATAAGATTACACATAATACAGCATGAGAATATATTAAGCAGTACATGCCATGTTTTATTCTATTGTACTTTATGAGGGCTGCCTTATACAAGAATTTAAACATATAATGCGTGTGCACTAAAAATAGGTTTAAAAGAATTGTACATCTTAGTAATGACGTAAAACAATGATACTAGTTAGCTATACCATACAACTGTTCTCTAGTACACATAGAATATATACATTTGTAGTCAACAATACGATCACTTGGTTGTAGTGTAGCTGGGGCAAGTTTTCTGCCTTAATTTCTTTGCACTCTTACCCAGCCAACAGATAAAGGCCTTTGCCACCAGGGCTGTGTTCCTAAGGTCCCACACATAAGGGTAAAGGTCATAGAGGACCGCCCTGTTAGCCCCACCAACCACACTGCAATGGAGCTGTCCAATTTCTTCACACAGAGAAAGCAACCTCGAGGCTCGCCCCCGCCACTCATCAACCTGACATCATAAAATACAGTGTTTTTAGTCCCCGTTATACACCCCACAGAACAGTCTCAGCCACGTCTACACTAGATTCTCACTGACCTTCTGAGGCTGTGCCTTCTTACTGTTGGCACTGACCAGGTGACAGTTTGTTTTCAGCCAGGTGAGATCCTGCAGGAGTTTCTGGGCTGCTGGGCCATGCTCATGGGGCAGAAAATGAAGACCAACCAGCAACCGAACTTGGGACTCACTTAGCTGTCCCTTCCCACCACAGTGTCCGCGAACCTGTTCTCTCTGAGCCCGGAATCCAACCACAGGGGCTCCAAGCCGGGATCCTGGAGGTTGATGACTGGGTTGGCTTGGCTGGTTTGACCTCTTTTTGTCCCCCTCCCTTAACTCCTTCTCTTTCTTTACGATAGTGGGCGAGGAGGGTGGAGAGCTTGAATTCAATGGGAAGACAGGGAGTTTGGCCACAACAGAAGTCCCCCTGAGGGTGGAGGGACAGTCAGACCTGTCAGGAGGTTTGCACCGTGATTGCGGGACGGAGGCCCTTTGGTCTGTCCTCGAGCTCTGCCGACCTGTAACAACGGTTTAAATTTAATATTGGGGTCAACAGAATTTTTTGTTGGTGTCATCGAAAAATGGTATGCTGAAAATGATTCATTTAATTATGAATACAATTCGATGGGCTAGTTAAAAAGTGAAACACAAGCATGAGCAGGGCACAATCTTTACCAGCTTGTAGAGGCTGATTGAGTTCTTCCATCCAGTCATGTAGTGCAGCAGACAGAGCTCTTTCAGGACAGTACTCGCACTCCTCATCTAGAGCATACAAAACATGTTAGTATACCATATTATAATATCCTTTGATATTTTTCATACATCGAAATTTCACATTGACAGAAAATGGAACTAAATTAAGTCACTTTGAATAATCCATCTCTTATGCCTACATTAAGGGAAAATACACTACAAGGCTGCAAAACTGACTTTCATGCATATATTGTAATTCCTCTGACTTTTCTTTCCACATAATATACTGCTGCTAGGCTTTCATCTCTTGTCTCATTCTCATTTTAAAGCCTTTGTGTCCTCAAGCCCACCATTTGATTCTACCTCTAAAAGGGACCTTGCACCCTTCTTTCTTCCTTCACCACTCTGTATAATTACTCACACTATTCCTCTCCACAAAGCCAGCAGCACATCACATGCCACAGCAAGTCACCCTTCCAACAATTTGACATTCCATACTCAGGTTCCCTCTTTCTTTTTTGGTGTGTATTTCCAAAGGTTTAGCTAACGAACATTTAGATGTGATGAAAGTAGTGTAACAAAGGTATAGTATGGGGGTCTGTATTGAGGAAATGATCTGGCATAACAGTATGTATAAGTAGAAGTTTCTAGGACAAAATAAAGAGCTATCCCTATAAATAATCTGGTGTTGCAAAAGTATTTGACTGAATAGAAATTAAATGGATTACATGGATATGGTCTGGCGGAGCCAATATTAGTTTATTAGCCAAGGGCATCTCCTGTCTAATTATTGCTACTTCCTACTTCCATTTGCCCTCCATCTTTTGAACCCCTCACCTTTCATCTTCTCTTTTCCTGTTCTGTGCCAGCTTCCCAGTGTGTGCAACGGGATATAGTTGGCTTCAAACTCGCAGTTTGGATTGAGCAGGAGGCCCCTAAGGTGATTCCTCAGCTGTGGCTCTCGACCCTTGAAAGGCCCCAAGAACAGACGTCTGGAGTCATAGTCATTGGCGTGCAAGTTGTCCCAGATTAGTGGGGGGCGCTGGAGGACAGACTCCACCTCAGCAAGGCAGTCCACAGACAGTTTTCTTGAAATTACCTTACTGCCTTTGGGACAAGGTGCAGTGAAAAAGTGGGTAAGTACAGTTTTATCCGAAAACATTCTATTTCTGTATGAACAACAACTGCATTTGCTATTGTCAAAGCTAAAATTTGTAACAGGATTTAAGTAAACTGTATATTAATACTAGAGTAGGACATCTGCTCTGGGATTAGCACAACAAACTGGTCAAAGAATAATCCTGTCTCTGGGGAGATGAGAAAACAGGTTACACAAGTTTACATTTTCCCTTTACAGGTGTAAAGGGAAAATGATTCCTCATATCTTTGGACTTTCCTCTCACACAAATCAACTGATGACACATGCAAGCCCTAAATGCTTTTATGTAAGAAGAATGCGGAAACAACTCCAGGATGATTACAGGTGTTCTTTTTAACCATTTAGGATTTTTGCTCTTGGAACTATTCATTTAATAGTGCAGCCATGAAACAGTTATTTCTGTAGAAACATAGAGATGAGAAATAAAATTCAAGATGCGAACTAAGGGAAGTGGGCGATAATGTGTGTATGTGCATTCATTTTTACTGTAGTACGGTATGGTGGTGGGTGGATGAGCAGTTAAATGTTTTTTTCTGGAGGAGGCTGTGTGGGATTGTGCACACATGTTTTTGCATGAGTTTATGCAAGGCTGTGTTTAACTGTGCTGTAGCAAAGATGCAGATGTATCTTTTCTATTACCGGTCCATATGACTGTGATATTAGGCAAAAGGTCCTCGCCAATAGTTTGCAGGTAGGGAGACTTGGACACACTGGGAGAACACAGGGAGCCGCAGTATTCTACAGAGACAGAAAACTATTGTTTCATGTGATTTAAAAAATACATGATAAAAATGTATGAAGTCTTGATACCAGTCCTACCTGTAGGGCAGAAAAGGAAGACAGCCGGCTCTCCCAAGAATCGATATATCTCGTTGGTTACTGTGACCTGAGCATGGGCAAATGAAGCAAAGGCCTCACTGTCAGCTTGACACATGGAGTGATCGATGTCATCAAACAGAATGGCAAATGCTTGGCAGCCCAGGTCTGACACCTGACAGAGAAAGAAAAGGCAACCCGTATTAGAGACTACAGAAATAAAAACCTCTCAGTTAGGTAATACCACATGACGTAACCAAACCTGTCTTAGTTTGCGTTTGAGCAGTGTCAAATCACAGGAGGAAGAAAAAACTATGTCCTGTCCAGGAGAGAGTGCGTAGACAAACCGAAGACTTCTGGACTGGGCCTCAACTATGAGCGTACGCAATTGACCTGTGGAGATGAAAAAGGGTAAAAATGTTGAGTGTCAAAATGATGAGTGAATGAATAAGAGTGAGAATTTATACAGTTGTTTAACGAAAAAAGTGTATTTGTGTGAAGAAAACTGAAATCGGTGCAGTGCTTGACCTGCAATCTTGCAGTTAAGACAGTATGATTCAAGCAGAACCTTTTAATTGTATGTTAATTTTTCAAAAGTTTTTAGATGGGACTTGCCCTCCTCTTCGGGAGAATAGACTTCTCTCCACAGCAGTCTGTGTTTCAGGTCGTCTTTTGGACCATACAAGTATGTGTTCAACCCCCAATCCTGCATCCTGGGGAAGAAAGACATGAAACTAAGAGTTTCAAAGGCCAGATGGCATTTTTTTTAACAGAAAGGAAAATCAAACTCTGAAGCTTTTGTCAACAAGTTCTTTTTTTTCCTGTCTCCTCACACTGCCCCCAACAAAAACAACTGAGAAATATACAGAGGAAAAACAAAATGCTCAAGTGGACATATTAACAACATGCTCTCACATATAACCAAGGGATGAGAAAAGAATGGTATTTATCAGAAAAGACATGTCCATAACAGATTTGCAGGTATTGTCAAATGTAAATTTGTGTTTATGTAAGGAGAAAGGGGAAAAGACAAAAATGCATATGCAGGAGAAGAGAACAAGTTTAAAAAACAAATGTGAGTTTTCTAAATGTTCTAAACTGCTCTGCTGGTCAGTGTCCCGGACAGCCAGGAGTCAGGAGCTGAGACTGAGGACAATGAAGAGTGAAAACAGAAAACATTAAGCCACAAGGAAATTGATGTACTGATCGTCTGACTCCAAGGCTGATGAAAGAACAGGAAATGAGCTGCTGAATTATAAATTGTGCATAGTACTAGGGCTGAAACAATATCTGCAACAGCAGTGGTTTGTACACACACACACAAATGTGAATGATGCACTTCTAGATCCTCTCTTGTCATTGTCAGGTCTGAGTTCTCTCACTTTTTCATTTCCTGGACAGATGGTACATAGGTCACCTCCATGAAGCAGCAGCCTACACGCCTGCATTCTCTATCTCACACACACGCACAGACTCTCCGTGGTGCGACTCTGCTAAACTTATGCAACACTCAGCATATGAACTGTGCCTACGCCCCATACTGAAGTCCAAAAAAAAACGAATTATAAATCTGATCCCACACATAAGATTTGGAAGTCAAATTAATTTCCAGTCCCCTCATAAAATAGTCTCTGCATGCTTAGAAATGTATTGTGTCCCCCATATTCTCCAGGGATACAGCACATGATGAATTTAAGCAACTTTTTCATTGCTTATTGTGCCTTAAATAGATAGAGAGCTCAGACAGCTTCCAACTGAGATTTAGGTTAGAATAAACCAGTTTCCTACCAAAGCGTACCATATGCGTGAATAACTGCTGCCTTAACTTGAACATGGCTGCCAATATCTTGTACTTCTGTTTGATTTTTCATTATTTGACAGATGCTGTCAATAAATGTCCCTTTGCCTGTGGTCTAGATTGACCACAGTCATACAAGAAGAGCCTTTCGTTCACCTTTTAAATGGTGTTGCCCACACGAAGGTGAGTGTTCTTGTTTTTAAAAGTTGAACATTTAAAAGATCTTGAATTCTGACCTTGCATCCTTCATATCGACTGAGGAACCAAAGTAAAGACTACTTTACTACTAACTGAAACATCCGCAAAGATGGATGAAAATGCATTATACGAGGCAAAAACAAACTTTGTGCAATTTTAATAACCTTGTCAAACAGTATTGGGTATGACCATATATGCTTCAACACAGTCTGAGGCTTCTTAGACAAACGTAGTAATTCCTTCATGTAAAGTAGCTTTCTGGGCTTTTTAAAAGACAGCTGAGAAATGTTCTTTCCATACATGTGTCATTTATCATACCTCAGCCTGTTCTCCCTTCTAAAAATGCTTCTTGAAGGCCACACCTCCATAAGGACCATTGCTAATGAGGCTTAAGTTATCCATAGATGGATTAACTGAAGGACCAGTCCCCATCTCTAAAGTACTTCAGTCCTATCTCTGAAAACGAACCTTTTGGAACTATGCTATCTCTCCATTCTTGCGGTGAGTGTGTCTGTGGTTTTTATAGAAGAATTTGTAGCTGAATAATGAGTTTTAGGCTAAGCAAACCATGCTTAAATGTTACCAGAACACAATTTATTAGTAAGAAGTGAATACACAAGGCCAGCTGCTCTACTACATCTTGAACCAATGTTTCTGGGCCCATGGGCCCTTCGCTCTGTATCTTTTGGCTGTTATAACGCAGTGTGGGCCTCCATCGTGCCACAGCTGTCATCCATGGCTGAGTCTCAGGTCTAAGAATGCTCTTTTTGTGTGTCAGTGACTTCTCTTGTGTCTGCTTGGCACAAGGCATGAAACTGGCTTTAGCTTAGTAGTGTGATGTCAGTGGACTCAGAGCTCACAGTAATCACGTGGAGCATTTGAACAAAAGAGAAACATGGCCTCTGAATGAGATGGAGATGTGTGGACAGACTGTGCACACACAACAGTGCATGCTGACTTGCAAACAAACACTAAAGAGGGTCAAAACTTACCACTGGAAGAGAACTTTTCTCTGATCCATAGACCATGGCCTCCCATAAAAACCTGTGTAAAAATACAAATGGCAAGCATGTCGGTTACTTTAATATTCCTGATGAGCCTGTTAAGCTAATAATGCATTTTTTAAAATCACATCTGACAGGTTTGTAACTCTTAAACACTACAGTTTCATGACAGTAATATGTTAACTTCATCACCATAAAACAAAACTCCTCTTTGCTATAAAAATGACTCTTTGCCTTAGATTGAATTTACTTGAGGGTTACAAATTTATTTAAAAAAATGTTGTCAGTTAATGTAAAATCGTTCTCAAATCTGCTGATACTTTTATAAACTACCTTCCGATACCTTAATGCAGTTAGATTCCTCCAGCTATCACATGCTGGTCACTACTACTACATGTTTAGCAGCCCGAAATGATACAACATCTTCCACTGCTGTATTTGGCAGGGGCATAACTCATTTGGGGCCACACTATCATAACCATTTTCTATTCTTGGAAGCAGGAGCATCTCCAGTTTCCCTCTAAGTTCGTTACTGTTTTTGAACAAGTCTGCAGTATGAGTGCGTACAGTAAATGGGTCAGAGAAGGAACTCAATCTCATATAATCTACACTGCTTTTCCCCCCAAGGTCTGTGCAGAGACTTTATCATTATTTTGTGTATGACGTATACCCGTGTGTGCACGTCAAGTGGAGCACTCCCCACCTGAAGCAAAGACAACTACACCTTATCCAGTGGCGGGGGGGGGGAGGCTTGATGAGATACATATCTTCTATTCTCCCGGAGCTTATTTCAGTTGACAACAGGAGAGTGTTAGGGTCTAACCTGGACAGGCCGCCAGTCCATTGCAGGGCAACACACAGATAAACAACCACACAGGCTCACATTCACTCCTAAGGGAAATTTAGCGTGTCCAAAGAACCTCACATGCATGCAGGCAGACACAGGGAGAACATACAGAAAGGTCCCGGGGAGCCTGAACCGGGAACCCCTTGCTGTGAGGTGACAGTGCTAACCACCACGCCACCATAATGCCCCTTGACACATTCGAGCTTACTAAATACTTTCTGCAGTGACATACCGTGAGCGGTGTTGATAATTACAATATAACACCAGTTTGCGAAAATAAACAGGCTGATGATATACATATACATTTCACCTAAATGAATCTGCTTTGTATTGGTGACTTGAGACAACTGTCTATCATTGTGGTTTCAGTATAGCTGACGATTAGTTTGAGCTGTTGCTAATTGGAATAATTTAGATTTAGATTTTGTACTGTAATTATCTATATATAACAAGCTGTGTCATTAATACCATTACTGCCACGTCTTAGGTCATAGACAGGCTAATTTTTTTTTAAAGATGTTTGAATATCGCCCTTTGTCTCACTAATCACAGTGAAAGCGTTTTTTTCTTCACATTCTTCCAAACATCTCCATCCTTTATGCTGTTTATGTTGTTCCTAATTGCAGTCTTCTCTCATCAATTTGAACACCATCAGCACAATCTTCATTTCTATCAATTAACATCCAGAGCTTCCATTAGTCTACAGCCTTTTAGCCAGCAGATTTCACTGCCTGCTCTTTGATCTACACTTCAAGCATGGCTGAGCCCCACATCCTCTCACACGGACCTTTTCATCCAACCTTTTCCTGCTTTCATAAATATATTCATCACAACACCCACGCCCATTTTAAAGAGTGGGCAAAAAAACATTCGCTTTCAAATACGGGTCAGACTGGGGTCTATATTAAAAATAAATGCCCTCGAGCTAAGAGAAAAAAAAAATCACGCGATCCGCTAGGTCAGTTATGAAGTCGGACGATCTCACCTTCCACCACCCCGCAAAGAAACTGGTGGTTCTCCTCCATCCTGCCCTCAGTCATGAACGCTCCCTCCCCCCACTTCCAGTCGTCCTCTAACAAGCGAAGAAAGGAGAGACGCTTTCCCTGTCTTCCGCGTTAGATCCCGCGAATATTCTTCATACCCCGCATCCATCTACTTCCACCTCATCCTCTCCTCCTCCTCCTCCCCCTTCTCCTCCTCCTTCTCCTCCTCTCGACTGCGCTGATGCTCCCGTGATGCCTTCGCGTGTTCACGGAAGCTTACTGCCAACGAGCTCTCGTACACTACTTTCAAACGGACAAACGTAATTCAGTTTGTACAGATACGGTTAGTCTACCATCTAGTGAGTGTTTCACCTCCTAAGGTATGTTGTCAAGTTTAGGAATTCAGCCACGTTGTGCTTCTAATGTAAGGTAAATCAGTTTTGCATTTGTTTGTTTTTTCAATTATTATTATTATTATTATTATTTTTTTTTAGAAAACCTCATTAATTCAAACATATCTAACGCCACATAATTTAAACCACCGGTACCCAAATACCAACTGGCTGACTTAAATGGTCTGCTCATTAGTGTCATAGGTTTTCCTATAACTTGAACGCAGCATCCATCTCGAGTGTCTTATTTACTGACAAAGTGCTTTGACTTCCACCAGGAAGGCAGCCAATGTGTTTCCTGCTCTGCACGACAGAGAGGTGAAACAAAGGAGTCATTTGAGATGATTTAGTGTTTGATTGTAGAGCAGCTTTACTGATCTTTGTGATGTTGATACTTTTTAAAATACATATGAAAGTTAGATTTTCAAAACAGAATGATTCTAAAAACATGACATTTTCTAACCAGGGTGTAAAAATGTCCCACAACAAAATAGACTTTTTCTGGGTTACAGAGCGATGTTACATTGAGAAAACACAGATGATAAAACTACCAGAAAACATTCAAGCAACGTCCCTCTTAGGTAAATGTTGAACACAGATAATCATTTTTTAAATCTGACAAGAGGCAGGACACACCTTGGGAAGGTTGCCAGTCCATCACAGGGCCACTCGGAAATGGACAACCTCACACCTTCTAAGACATCTCTAAAATAAACCTCTTACATAAACATCTGCGCTTGCAGCAATGTCAAACTCAAATATACCTCTACTATAGGTTAAAAATGATTTAATCTTGTCAGACTGAATAGAACAAAAAATTAAACAGATCTATGATACTTTTGAGGAACTTAGAAAACAAGTTGGAGCACATTATTACCACTGGACAAGATAAAAAGACAGATTACTTCCTGCATCTTGTGTTACAGCCGTTCTCATGTGAATGTCTCAGAATTTATTCATACTATTCAAATTAACTGGGCACCTTCACACAACCTGAAGTGCAGAGATTCACATTTCCCGATACTCAGGATACATAGAAGTGCAAGTACATATCCCTGTCCTGCAGGGATAAGCGACTCTAGAAGTGCGCTGTCTTCATGGAGTGAGAAACACTTGTAAGTGCCATGATTTACAAGTTTTGTTTAGAAATGAGATTTAGATTTTCTTGGTTAATCTACCTTAAATTGTAATTTCAGAGTGAATGAATTAACTGTATCTTTCAGAGGTTTAAATCATGAATTGGCTGGTCATCTTTGTGCTTACAGGTAGGCCCTTCTGTTTTTTTACTCTGCCTCTTTATGTCGTTTTCAATAGTTACTGGATGCAGTTGCATTACTTTTTTCTTTATGCAAGGAAACATAGCAGTTGAATTATACTAGATGCTGCATTAAGCAATGTGCAAATTTCTTAAAATTCGTCTTTGAAAAAAAATATTTCACATGTATTTTTGTTCCCAACAAAATACAATAAATTATATCTCCTTTTTATTATCAATTCCCACATTGTCCACAGATGCTCTGTTTCATCTTTTTAGTTTGAGTGTCAGTATTGTTGCTGTCTGTTGTGAACACTGATTAACTTAAACTAAAACAGGAACTGTTGACTGGGTTCTAGTGATGCATAAAAGACGCCTCAGTTAAGTAATCAGTGGTTTCAGTGGTATCTGTTACAATATTTTGCAGTCAAAGGCATGGTGTTTATTTATAAAACATGCTCAAATTTCACTGAGTCACAACATGTACTGTGCATAGGATAGTTCTTTTATAGTCTCTTGAGCAACTAACAGTCAAATCCAGGCAGTTTGAGCATAAAAAAGTAGTAGTTTTGTTCAACTTTAAGCTGTGTTCTTGAACCCTCATTACTGATAACCATCCAGCTTAAACTGATGTACTCTGCCCACTAACATATCACTGTGATGTTTGTCATTTCAGGAGCATTGCTCAGTGTTGCATTTGCCCAGACTCGTCAGTACTACTTTGTTAGTACTCCGCAGAACTGGGCGAACGCTCAGAGTGTCTGCAGGCGGGATTTCACTGACCTGGCCACCATAGAAAGCATTGCTGATGTTGAGGCTGTTGTTAAAACCATATCAAGCTATTCAGGTGAGTTTTTAGTCGTGGATTTACAAGCATGAAGTTAACTGTATGTATATCCTCCTGAGACCCGGCCCATTCATTTATGTCCATTATAGTGGACATTTTGTCCACCTGTACCCCCCCCCTAAGTATCTGGAGTTACCCTATCAAGCCCTATAGTGGTCTGTAGAGGACATCCTGGGCTTTCCAGTGATGTGCCATGTGATAGGTTTGCATGCTGGGAACTTTACTTTTTTCCTAAGAGTTCTTAGGTAAATATCCCTTTCAAGACATCTTCTTTTTTATTATTTAATTATCTAAAGCCTGTTCTATTTTCCCATGCAAATCGTCCTGTTGTCCTCCACAGTGGACATGCTAGGGAATTAAAATTAAAAATATTTAAAAAAAAATTAAATTGTAATGTTCTTTTTTAGGTCCAAATACATGGAAAATCACAACAAAAAAGAAATTTGAAGACACTTTTTTTCTTTGGGTCTCAGGAGGATATAAAAAAATATATAATAGACACAAAGACCGCCAAGTAGTATGTAAGTTTAGAAAACAGAACAAGTCAGCCTGTCTTTGCAAACAGGTGTTTGATGTAGTTCTTTTGTTGTTATATTGCTATTATATTTTCAACAGGCAAAGCTTGGATTGGTCTCTATGATGACTTGCTAAACAGCTGGAGGTGGTCCCTAAACGACAGCAGCTTCTACGGTGAAGGAGAGACAACATTCAGGAACTGGTATCCAAATTCACCCAACAATTTCGGTGGATTGCAGCACTGTGTCAGAATAATTGGTAGTTCTACATTTAGCGGCACATGGGATGATCGTCAGTGCAGTGACGAACGACCTTTTGTCTGCTATAACGGTGAGTTCATATGAAGAGGAAACTCCAACCATTAGTTTTCGTAACCGCTTGTTCCCTTACTCTGCTGGGGGACTGGAGCCTAACCCAGGAGTCAATGGGCGAGAGGCGGGGTACACCCATCGCAGGGCAACACAGAGGAAATTATTTATTGAATCTTTTTTAAATATCCAATCTTTAAACCAAACAGCATCCCACTGAGCTCCGGAAACATGTACAGTTTGGCTAAAGAGAAAATATATGAGAGGATTTTAACTGAATTCAAATCACCAAATGTATTGGATCCCACTCTCTGTTTTTAAAGAACTGCTCTTTAGGCATTGTAGGGGACTCGTTTTAACAACTATTTCATCCTGAATCTTTTTTTGTCTTAACCATGTGTTTACAGGTATAGTTGATGGCTCACCATCCTTTGTTTTCAATTCAATTGCATTGAATTGGACTCAGGCTCAGAGATTCTGCAGGGAGAATTACATTGATCTAGCCAGGTAGAGTTAATACTAAATTATACCTACACACTACTGTTATACGGGTCTGTGTGTGTTTTCATGAGGAGGTTTCATCACGGGGGTCTTACTCCAGTACTGGGATAAGATGGGGCAGTGTGTTGCATTTCTCTCAAGTTAACATTGATATTATTAAATTTCACTTTTCCCCACAGTATACGGAATCAAAATGAAGACAATATTGTCAAAAACCTAATTGGTTCAAGCTCCCCATGGATTGGTCTATATCGAGAAAAACTGTGGTCTGATGGTAGCAGCTCTTTGTTTCGATTCTGGGCTGCCGGAAAGCCAAGTTCTGATTGGGAGCGGTGTGCTGCTGCAGCATTCGATGACTCAGGAAGATGGTCAGATGAAGACTGTTCCCTGAGTTTACCATCAATCTGTTACAGACCAAGTAAAGGGTTTCATTTTTATTCCTACAAACTTCAGTTATGTTAGGAGTTGCAATTAAAGAAAAAAATCCAACTACACAAAAGGAAAAAACACATCAGGATGTGGTCAGAATAATTATGTTTCTGCTCACTATGAAATTAGATTAAATTGAATCAAAATAAATTGGAACAAACCCATTAAATTATGAAAATAAAACATATCTATATATATAAAAATTGTTGGTGGTAGTTTGGACTGGGAAAGCTATATGTCACTATCCTATACTGAGTATAGTCAGTTGCATTATTTGTCTTTTTTAATTCATGCAATATCTGGTAAACAAACATAAAGTCCTTTCTCAACAGTGCCACCAAATCCAAAGGGATTCAGGGCATCAGGACAGACTGAGACCAGGATCACTCTGCAGTGGAATAAAGTCAACAGCAATGTCAGCTTTCTTCTCCAGTTTAATGGCACAGAAACACCCATCAGTCCACCAGATGGAGATGGTCCAGTCAACCACACAGTCTCATCTCTCACTGCTGGAAGCAAATACACATTCACTCTCTTCTCTGTGTTTGAGAATGTCAGAAGCAGTGGAGTCCAACTGACAGCAGCCACTGGTGGGCAAATTAATGTCATTATTATGAATTTAAAAAGTTATTATTATTTTGCTAAGAACAACCGTAAAAAATGACAGATTAGATTGTATGAGGATCAAATCAACTTTTTTAACATGACCCTGAAGTTCCAAGTTTATATAAGACATAACTACTCCCTGCAGACAGTTATAACACTAACCCTTTCTGCCTTTTCAGCTCCTCAGAACACTGCAAACTTCAGAGCATCAGGACAGACTGAGACCAGCATCACTCTGCAGTGGAATAAACTCCATGGGAATGTCAGCTTTCTTCTCCAGTTTAATGGCACAGAAACACACATCAGTGCACCAGATGGAGATGGTCCAGTCAACCACACAGTCTCATCTCTCACTGCTGGAAGCAAATACACATTCACTCTCTTCTCTGTGTTTGAGAATGTCAGAAGCAGTGGAGTCCAGCTGACAGCAGCCACTGGTGAGATATTTCTATCATCACATCAAGAAGAAAAATGAAAGATTAGTATTATTCTAATCTTGATTAGTTAAATCTACGTGTTTCAAAAGATAGGAATTCAGCCACAAAATCAAATCAGTCGAGAAAAAGCCTTTTTAAATAAAAAATTTCCATATCTTTTTACAATTATGCTCTTCGACCATAGGTTATAGGTTCATTACTGACACATTTCTTTGTCAATTCTCTCAGTTCCATATGAGACATAAATATACGGTAAATGAAACACCATGTATGTATCATGTTTTTAAAATTAGTTGATTCTCCGATGTCTTATTTCCAGCTCCAGTAAATGCAGACAGCTTCAGAGCATCAGGACAGAATGAAACCAGCATCACTCTGCAGTGGAACAAACTCGAAGGGAATGTCAGCTTTCTTCTCCAGTTTAATGGCACAGAAACACACATCGGTGCACCAGATGGAGATGGTCCAGTCAACCACACAGTCTCATCTCTCACTGCTGGAAGCAAATACACATTCACTCTCTTCTCTGTGTTTGAGAATGTCAGAAGCAGTGGACTCCAGCTGACAGCAGCCACTGGTGAGATATTTCTATCATCAGATCAACTAGAAAAATTAAATATTTGTGCTTTTCTCCTGTAGAAATAGTTCAAACTACCTTTTTTTAAAAGCAGACAGTTTAGCCACATATTCATAACATCACAAACAACGTTTTGATAGAAGTTATTGTCCAATTCGTTTTATATTCATGCACTTCAACAATGGATAATGTTCATAACTGACACGTTTCTTTGTCATTTCTATCAGTTCTATATGAGACATAAATATTAATGACACACCTTGTATGTATCATGTCTTCAAAAAGATTTTTTTCTCCAATGTCTTATTTCCAGCTCCAGTAAATGCAGACAGCTTCAGAGCATCAGGACAGAATGAGACCAGCATCACTCTGCAGTGGAATAAACTCGATGGGAATATCAGCTTTCTTCTCCAGTTTAATGGCACAGAAACACCCATCAGTGCACCAGATGGAGATGGTCCAGTCAACCACACAGTCTCATCTCTCACTGCTGGAAGCAAATACACATTCACTCTCTTCTCTATGTTTGAGAATGTCAGAAGCAGTGGACTCCAGCTGACAGCAGCCACCGGTGAGATATTTCTATCATCACTTCCTGAGGAAAAATGAAAGATTAGTATTATTCTAATCTTGATTAGTTAAATCTACGTGTTTCAAAAGATAGGAATTCAGCCACAAAATCAAATCAGTCGAGAAAAAGCCTTTTTAAATCAATATTTTCCATATCTTTTTACAATTATGCTCTTCGACCATAGGTTATAGGTTCATTACTGACACATTTCTTTGTCAATTCTCTCAGTTCCATATGAGACAGAAATATAAATGAAACACCATGCATGTATCATGTTTCTAAAATGAGTT